TCCGATGCTAGACTCCTGGGCATACTAGAAGTCCTAGACCATCTTAATCCAAGTTCCAGTTTTGGGGAACTTGCTGTTTCCAGAGAGCCACCCATATCTGAAAGCTGTTTTACTTCCAAGTCACCCTTATTCTTGGGTGCGCTGGTCCCCAAAGTGGAGAGTGGACTCCAATCATGGCATGCTCTGGATTTGATTTTTATTCTCCTATTCTCAAGAGGCTTAGCTCAGCCTTTCTGGTTTCTTGTCCAAATCAGCAAATATCACCAGAGCAGAAGCAGCGCTGGTGTTTGGCTCATCTAAGTTCCCACCCTGCCCTTGCTTTCAGCCCTGAAAGCTGCTTACTCTGTTGATGTTTATATTTGTGTAGCTTTATTAATTTATTTTCATCAGGATGGTAGATCTGTATTCTATAGCCCATCATTGATGTTCTAGAACATCATTAATGTTCATGAAAATTCTTCGTATATACTCAGACAGTCCCCGACTTGTGATGGTTCGATTTAAGATCTGTAGACTTTGTGATGGTGCAAAAGTGATATGCATTCAGTAGAAACAGTACTTCGAACTTTGAATTTTAATCTTTTCCCAGGTTAGCCATATGTTGTACAATACTTTTGGGATGTTGGGCAGTGGCAGCTCTCAGTCAACCACTCGATCACGGGGGGTAAACAACTGATACTCCCAGAGTGTACTGCACTGCTGGATAATTTTGCCCAACTGTAGGCTAATGTAAGAGTTCTAAGCATCTCTATGATAGGTGAGATTCAACTATGATGTTTGGTAGGTTAAGTGTATTAAATGCATTTTTCACTTCTTCAATGTTCATCAGGATGTAACACCATAATAAAACGAGGAGCATCTGTATTAAATATAATGTTGAGAATGGCCATCCACCTATTCCTGATTTTATATGAATGCCTTCAGGCTATACCTATACCCTCATCAGGTAAAATGTTGCCTTCTGGGCTGATAAATATATTGTATCATGCTAAAGAAGTAGTAATTGATTTATTTTATTGACTATATAAAAAATGTGTGTTGAATTTGATCAAATGCCTTTTACAGCATCTATGAAAATGATCTTTTAGTTTTTCTTTGACTCTATTCACATGATTTATGTACTGAATTTCATAGTATTGAACTATTCATGCATTAATGAAATAAACCCCACTGCATTATGATGTAATATTTTTAATGTGTTGTTGAATTCTGTTTCATAATATATTTTTTTCTTTTGGTAACTTTTATCTTTATTTTTATTTTAGTGTATTATGGGGGCACAAATGTTAAGGTTACATATATTGCCCATGCTCCCCTCCATAATAATTTTTTTTCTTTTTTTTGAGACAGAGTCTCAATTTGTTGCCCAGGCTAGAGTGAGTGCCGTGGCGTCAGCCTAGCTCACAGCAACCTCACACTCCTGGGCTCAAGCGATCCTCCTGCCTCAGCCTCCCAAGTACCTGGGACTACAGGCATGCACCATCATGCCCGGCTAATTTTTTCTATGTATTTTTAGTTGGCCAATTAATTAATTTGTTTCTATTTTTAGTAGAGACAGGGGTCTTGGCTCTTGCTCAGGCTGGTTTTGAACTCCTGACCTTGAGTAATCTGCCCACCTCAGCCTCCCAGAGTGCTAGGATTACAGGCGTGAGCCACAGCGCCCGGCCAGCCCTTTTGTTTTCTAACTTTGTTATTGATTCATAGATTTACTGCATTTGTAATCAGATACTCTTAACTATATTTATATCTTTTCAAATGTTTTATTAGGATTTTCTTTGTGATCTAACATATGATCACTTTTCATGAATCTTCCATAGAAGGAAGATGCATTCTCTATTATCAATACAGAGTTTTATATATATACTGAAATATACTTTGCTATGCTCTAGAGATCTATAATAGCCTTCTCTCCATGCATGCTATCTATCGGAGACTGAAAGAGAGCTGAACTCATCTCTGCCCGAGAAGGTTATGGTTGTGATTTGGTGAATAGTTATTTCTGAGCATTTGCTCTTGTTTGAGAATTATAACTTTAACATTACAAAGTGCTCTTTCTGTTTGGCTTCATGCTTTCTGGCCCAGATTCTACCTTGTCTGATATTAAGATTGAGACTGCTGCTTTATTTTTGTTTGCATTTTCCTGGTATGCACTTGCCAATAGTTAAATTTTAACCTTTCTCACTATAATTTAGGTGTGTATCTTTGACACAGCAGTATTGAGTTTTGCCTAGTATTCCAATCTGAAAATCTTTCCCTTTAATAAGTGAGTTTCCCATTAATTTGTAATGGATTACATAAACGTAATCCATTTACATTTATAGATATGATATGTTTAGTTTTAGTCATCATGTCAAAAATGATTTCATATTATGACTATATGTGTGTATATATATATATGTCCTGCCCACTGTAGCTCATTTTCTTCCAGTAATCCATTTTGACAATGTTCCTCAAGGAAAAGGGGAAGAAATGCATCCAACTAGCTGGAGCTGGATTTGGTAAATAATCCAGCAGGGGTACCCAGGGAGGACCAATTGAAGGGCTCATGTCAGGGGCTCTGTAGGGATGTCCTGAGAGCTCTGTCTTCCCTCCTGTCCTTTCCAACATCTTTCAAGGCAACATTCATAAAGACTGAGAAGACACAATCAACATTTTAAAAAGACAGAAGGCTCTTGCATGAATGGCCCCTTCTCCCCTCTGATTATTACTCAGGTGTCACCTCTGACAAGAGGCCGGCCCTGACGGAGTTCCCCACCTCACATACTCTCCTTCCAGCAAGGGGCTAGATCCCCTTACACCCACCAAGATACAGAATTATTTTGTTCCTGAGCTTGTTTCCTATCTGACCCTCTCCTAGAGTTACTCTGGTCTCCTACTGCAATATTCCTTCCACAGTGACAGGGACCTTGTCTATTTTCTCACTTCACTATGAGAGCACAATGGAGATCTGATGGTTACAATTTGCATGTTCTTGCTTATGGGAGGCCAGCAAGGAATTTCCTTAGTGAATGACCTGTGGGGCCAGCTCTTTACAGGTTCTGGAGGACTTCACCTCTTTTGCATAAGGAGTTGGGGGTGGACCTGAGATTTTTATTTTCTTTTTTACACAGGTGTCACTATTTAAAGTCTCCAAGGTCTGTCCCCTGGCTTCTCATGTGGCAGAATGCAAAGAGATCCTGACTGCAGGCTACACAGGAAAGGATCCAGGCAAGGCAAAGGCTCCCAGCCAGAGGTCCTCTCTGACCCTTTCCCTGAACCAGCCTTCATCTTGTCAAATGCTCCTCTGGTCTACAGAAATCCCCACCAGAGCCAGACTGGCCTTGTCCCATCTACATTGTAACACAGGAGAAAAGCTCAAATTCTGCACCTTCACAAAGGATTCAGGCACAGCTTTAAGGCCATCGCCGGCTAAGCAAGGTCCTTCAGCAGGTCTAGCTCCAGGAGCTCTGCGCTGGCTGTCCTTTCCATCTCATTTCTCTGCCCAGCTCAACTGTCACCTCCCTGGAAAATCTTTTCTCCCTCCCTAGGCAAAAATGCTGGGTGGCCTTTCTTGGTCTTTAGTGCTCCATGTACACTTCCTGCTACAGCCCCTAGATGGGGGTATAAGTGGCCCTTTCCCAATCTAATGACATTCACACTTCCCCTCAGGTTAGCACTCCAGCTTTGTCTCTTGGTAGCAATCACTGAAGGAAAGAGTCACCATTAATTATGAATGTGAGTCATCAACTTTTGCAGTTTCGGCATCCTTAATCTCTGTGGAAAGTGGCTAAACTGCTAACTGCCATCAGGTGGGGCTCTTCACCACAACACAATCACAAGCCAGAGGTAACAGCTGTTCACACCCACAGCAGTCCCAGCGAATCACAACGCTGTGAGAGAGACCAACCTAACACACTGACCCTGTGCCCTGACCACAGGGCAGGGAGAGCCACCCTCTTTCAAGGGTGGATAGAGGCCGGGTGCAGTGGCTCACGCCTGTAATCCTAGCACTCTGGGAGGCCGAGGTGGGCAGATTGCTCGAGGTCAGGAGTTTGAAACCAGCCTGAGCAAGAGTGAGACCCTGTCTCTACTAAAAATAGAAAGAAATTAATCGGCCAACTACAGAATATATATATATATATTGGCCAGCTACTTGGGAGGCTGAGGCAGGAGGATCCAAAAAAAAAAAAAGAAAGGGTGGATAGAGGTGATTGGGTGGGTAGGGATTGGGAGGGACTTTAAACAGTCTACAAAGACACAAACCTCAGAAAAGTATAAATCCTGGTGAGGCACACATCCCAGCCATCAGGAGATGCAACGGGAATGTCAATGGGCTAGGTCTTTCTTTCTTTTTTATTTTTTTGAGACAGAGTCTTGCTCTGTTGCCCAGGCTCCAGTACCGTGGCGTCAGCCTAGCTCACAGCAACCTCAAACTCCTGGGCTCAAGCGAGTCCTCCTGCCTCAGCCTCCTGAGTAGCTGGGACTACAGGCATGTGCCACCATGCCCGGCTAATTTTTTCTATATATTTTTAGTTGGTCAATTAATTTCTTTCTATTTTTAGTAGAGAGGTGAGACAGGTCTCACTCTTGCTCAGGCTGGTTTTGAAACACCTGACCTTGAGCAATCCACCCACCTCGGCCTCCCAGAGTGCTAGGATTATAGGCGTGAGCCACCTGCCACCTCGCTTGGCCAAGCTAGGTCTTTCTAATACCCATAGCCCCAGGGAAAGGCAGGGCTGACAGCCTTACTCTCTTCCTGGACCACTGCATCCCTGGCCTAGTGTTTAAGAACAACCTGGGGTACCAAGCAAGGCAGTGCCAGCCTGCAGACTCTCAGGTCATTCCCAGGCTCCCCGACTCCCCTCTCCAGGCACACGTGGAGCTCATGCCCCAGCACATGAGCTGTCTACACCCGGAAGTTTCTGGGCACCACAGTGGTACTCCCAGGGCTTTTTCTTCAATTCAGCTTTAGTGAAAAGGCAATCCACGTATTAATATAGAAGAATCTGTAAACTCCTAAGTCACATTTTAAACTGTAACATTTATTACAATTCCTAGGATGAGACACTGTGGGCAAGTTCATTCCTGTTGCGGAGGTCAACACAGTGAAGCTCCTTTTTCTTCTCCCTGGAACCAGAGGTCAGGCAGCCCTGCAACACACAGCACGATGGCTGGCCTTAGGCACATTTCTAATGCAAGCTGGCTTAACTTTCCTTAAGTATAGACAACAGTTTAAAACTTTTAGGGTAATACTAATTTTAAGGCATGCAGAAACCTTAAATATTTTCTCCTTACTCAAGATATGGAAGATGCTTAACTCACATACATAAAAAATGCCTCAAATAAGTCTTGCTTCTTGCATTTACTCTTGCATACTTAATCAAATCACATAGTCCATGGTTGAGCACTTAAAAGGAATGAGGCCCACCGGCCCCTTCACTAACAAAGACCCTGGTGGGCACTACTTCGCACCATACAATTATATTCTATTGCCTGCAGGTTTTCCTGAATGGGCACCACTAGCTGTATTTCCAAGCAGGATTTACTGCACATGGAAAACAATTTGGTTAGTTTGCAACTAACTCCTAGTTCTCAGAGAAAATGTGGTCATGGTAAATGCCACTTTGAGAGATTCCTACTACCTGAGGCTTGCTTTTTATACTGAAAAAAAGATGGATTAGATGTTAGCGGACAACCTATGAACAAACTCCTCAAGAATTGTGCAGGGTACAAACCAAGGATAATCTACTAATCCAAGCAGAAAAACTTGGCTTGGAAAATATTTTTCTAGATTTAATGCTACTACAGAAAGTCTCTCCAAACTATTCCCCTTCCAAAAGGAAATAAGCTTTCATTGTGCAAGTAGACTAAAGAGATAACAGCTGTAAGATTCAGAACATATCAGTGTGCAGGTAGAAAAGTTTAAGAAAAATAAATCAGAACATGTAGATACTTAAATATTGTGTGTTGTTTGATCATTCTACAAGATACTGATTTCTGAGCCTCATTTAAAATGCTTTCTCACTGACATAGGAAGCTGTTCTGAGTGTAGGTGAGCCACTTCTTTCTGGATCAGAATGGAGTCTTTATACCAACAGCAAACATTGTAAGGACTGTTTTGACTGCGCTCTAAATAGTACCCTGTGGCTGTTAAACAATGTGAATATCTTATATGAAGCATTGCAATAAGAAAAGAAAGTACTATGTTTTTACCTTGGCAAAAAATTTTTTTCTCTGACACATTATGGGTTTTTTTAAAAAGTTTTTTACCCCAATTCTGAAGAGTCTATAGAAGAAGCCTCTCTTTGGTTTGGGAACCGAGGGACATATTTTGTCTTCTAGATCTAACAGCAAATTTTCCTCATTTCCACTTTCACTGATGTCCTTGAAACATCCAGATTCGATCATCTGCATGTACAGAAGAGCAGGACAGAGAAGGCGTGGAGGGACACTGTGGGGTCAGGCAGTGTCTCCTAGTACCATCAGCTCCCACATGGCCCCTGTGCTCCATGCTGGTGGCTCGAGCTCCCAGGCCTGGGCCTCCCCTGGCTCCCCTTTCCTGGACTCTGACTTCCCTGCTTTCTGACCTCCTCTTGGGGTGAGTGGTGTGGTCTCCTCTTCCCCTGTCTCTGAGCAGACCCCCAGTGTGGGGAACTACTACTGCAGGAACTATGGCTGCCAGCTAACTCTGCTTAGGAAGCCGGACTTGGGTGGCAGGCAGGCCCAAGATGGCCACCTCCTGTCCACTTCCAGTCCCTGGGACTGGGGGTAGCTGTCATGCTTCTGCACAGTTGTTAATATGGTCCTTGCTTTGCCCATCATCTAGTCCTATGGTGAAAAGTCTCGCCTCATTTTACCTCCCAAATACACACACACAATCTTTTCTTTCGTCATTGTTGAAACATAAACCTACTATGCTGGAAAGGGCAGTACCTCATTCTGCCAGGGGATGGGGACACACCCTGTAACAAATTGAGCATAGAAGTTGTCATCTGTGGTGTCCAGGTTGACTCCTTTCACCATGGAGAACTGCTCAATATCCAAGACATCCTTGCAGTAAACTGTATTAGGCTGTGCAGCAAGAAGAAAGAGAGACAAATCCATGAGATGACAGAGTAATCTGTAGTTCCCACAGTTATAAAGAATAAAATGCCTATGACGTGAGTGCATAAACACTGCTCCATTTTTTTTGCCAAGCCCCTCATTTGAAGAATTTTCCAATTCATAGAGTATGAATTGGAGCTCCTCCTTTATGGAAACTTTAGTGTCACAGATCCTGTGTGCTCCAGCTCCCTTGTGTGCACACATGCTCTCTCTGTCTCACACACACACACACACACACACACACCCCTCTGAAGACCACACCCTTCTCTTTTTTAACGTGGAAAGTAGATTACAAACAAGGCCAGGATGAAGAAGGATGGGATGGATGCTTTTATCAGAAGATGCAGCACAGACTGAAGAGCTGTGGGGCGGGATAGAGACCACAGCTATGGGATCCAGAGTTAGTGACCATGCCGCCAACCCCTGGCATCCTCCTCGTAAAGCACCTGCTTAAAATTTTAGTAGCAGCTCCACATCCCGCCCTCCCTGCCAGCTCACTGAGTGGTCTCGAGCTGACAAAGGCGTCTGAGGGAGCAAGGGCCCTACCCCTCCCATTCTGCTCCACTCCATGGGTCAGCAGGCACCTCCTCTGGGTCAGAGGCCCAGGTCTGTGGCCCCCACCCTGGCCCTGTGGTCCTCAGTTGCAAGGGGTCAGGAAAGCAGGTGAGGGGTGCCAAAGCTGGGCCTCCCCCTCTTGTCAGTGCTTGCACTCTGGGGGCTAAGGAACAAAAAGCACAGAACTTTGCAGTCGTGGGGTCCTCATCTGCTCATACAAGAGGCACCTTACAGTTCTGAGGAACCACCTTATCCACAGCCAGAACTTGCACACCAGTGAGTGCTATAATCAAGGCAGTGATGTTCTGCAGGTCACTGGTCAGCAGTCCTCTGAGAGTAGCTGCTGGTCATTCATGCATCCTTACAAGGAGTGGAAGTGAGCTGGCAGGCCCCACATCCAGGGGACAGTCCAGAGGAAGGCATCCCAATATTTCAGTCTAGGCCAAAGGCCCAAACCCCATAATGCCCCACAACCTATGAAGTCTTAATTCCACAAATGAAACTCCCCACTGTTTTATCATGAGAGCCCCCTGAGGACTGGCTCCCTATGGGCTGATGTGATTACTCTGAGGTCACACAGACATGTCTGAGATGGCCTAGAGTCCCTGTCCCACCTGCTCCCCCACCTTTCTCAGGGCTCGGTCCATGTCAATTGAGCTCAGCTGGAAAATCCCTCCTCAGAGGCTGCCTTGGGCCTGCCTGCTCCTGACCCAAGCAGCCCCAGGGCCTGGCAGGAGAGAGGCTCTCAGGACCAGATGGCCCATGTGGAGGCCTTGTCATGCACTCACCACTGTTAGGCGGTTTTCTCAGTTGGCTAGTTAGTTAGTTTTACTGCCTATCTCTTCAGGCTAAGACAGGCTGCCCCAGAGCAGAGACCTTGCTTGTCTCATTCTCACTGTGGCCTTAATACCTAGAGCTGTGTCTAGCAGGTAGCATGCATTCAATAAATATGTACCATGTGAATTAATTCCAACAAAGCAGTTACTACGATAACATATAATACAAATATAAAATAAACCTAACAGATCCTGAACAAGTCCCACATCTAAAAATATTTTAATAGTACTATCTTAATTCCATCCTATTCTTCAAAATTACCTACCCTCACATGTGTGTTGATATACTACATCTGAAACCGACTGCCCGAGACACAGCCCAGAGTACAGTTTGTGTTCATTTATCCTTTCATTAGCAAGAGTGTCCTAATTGTCTATGGGCACCCCCACCAGGCACTGACACGTGCCAGGCCCTGTGCCAAGCACTCTGGAGACATAACCTCATCTGGTCCCCACAGCATACTTAGGTGGAGGAGTAGTGACAGCACCATAGTCCTCAGCATGAGGCCTGGCCACAGTCCCAGGACCTCATGAGCAGTGGAGTAGGGATGCGCATTCCAGGCAAAGGAAGCAGGTGTGCACTATGGTGTGAGAAGGTGAGTGACAGCATGAAAGGTGAAGCCAGTACTGATAACAGAAAGGGAACACTGGACATACAGGGACCTGAAGGGCATGCAGAGGAAATCTCTAGGTATTGCTGTGGCTCCTGAGGAGGGCAGTGGCTCCGTGCTACCAGCAGTGAGGGCAGACAGTGACTCCAGGCCCTGGGAGCCAAAGCACTGCTGGGATGGGCTACACAGGGTCTGGGGGTGGCTGTGGAGAGCTGGAGATGATGGGGGAGGGAGGAAGAACCAGTTATGACAGGCACCACAGAGCAGAAGCCACATCCTGGCAGTCCCAGGTGATTCTGTATCTATCTGCTTTAAAAAAACAAAACAAAACTATGTTGCATGGATCACTGTTCCTGGGGACCCTGCTACTGTTGGCAGCACACTCACATCAGGACAGAAAGGAGGGTCCAGCATGTTTGCTTCCAGCCTCCTGAAGTTGATGTTTTGAAACACAGGGTGCTGCTTCACTCCAGCTGCTCCATCGCCCTTGCAGCCCAGCCGTTCACTTGGGTTCTTGGTGAGTAACTGTACAAGAGGTGGGAATGGAGTCACAGTAAGCTCCTAGGATAAAAATGAAACTCAAAAATAACCTCTATAATAATAACCAAGAATTAGGGATGGCAGAGAGCATGTACATCTAAAAAAATACTCAAATTTCAAGGCATCAACCCCACCACATTAATTCAGATTTTATTACTTATGTGGTATTTCACAAAGGAGTTGGGCTAACGTTTTGCCTTTGAGCTATCAATGCATAAGGGGTTAGCTAAGTTAATCCTTAAGTAAAAAAAAATGTTAACCATGTAAAAATTAGGGAATTTTTTAAGGAAATAGAAACGTTTGAGAATTTCAGAAATATCATTTTAATGTAAATTATATTTATAACCAGAAACTATTTTAATCTGTTCATTAAATAGATCAGTAAGAACCTCAGATGAAGCAAAAATTTAACAAACCTACTTCTAGAAACTGTATATTCTTAAAATAGAGTATCTTGTTCAAAAGTATCCCATTTATACATACTTACAACTGTCACAAATTCAATAAGCCTTTCTCCACAATTATTATTGATCAAAAAAGGTTAGGCTGTACTCAAAAGCAGCATATTAAAGATCTGTGCCTCTAAAATATAGCCTAAACCAGAGGTTGAGAAACTATAGACCATGGGCTACAATAGCTGCCTAATTTTGTAAATAATAAGGTTTTATTGGCATGACCATTAGTTTACTATTGCTATTGCTATGGCTGCTTTTACACTACAGTGGCAGAGCTGAATAGTTGTAATAGAGACCTGCAAAGTCTAAATAATACTTACTATCTGGCCCCTTACCAAAAAGTTTGCTGATTCCTGGGCCAAATCAACATCCCAAAGACCAGAAAGAATCCTGGATCCAGCATTTCCACAGTGCTCTAGCTCCCAACCTTGCTGAGCTGTGCCTACCAGGGCCTGAGTTTAGAAAGCTCTTTGCCTCACTTACTCCTGCTAAATTCCTTGGGTTCCAGTTTCTCTGGTCCTGACCCTTACATCAGGCTCCCCTCCTCCAGCCCCACAGCCTCAAAGCATTCCCTGTTTCTCCCTTATGGCACTTATCACAACTGAGGTGAATAAACCATTCGGACAATCCTTTTTGCTAGCCTTTCCTGTTGGGTATGAAGCTTGGTGAGGGAGGGGCTATGTATCCCTAGCACCTAGCCAGAGCAAGTGATCAATGAGATTTTCTCAATGCATTTATTCTTTGCATGCTTTTGTTAATTTAAAACACAACTGGAAAAAAATTTTTTTTCTTTTCTGAGACTGAGCCTCACTCTGTGCCCCAGGCTGGAGTGAAGTGGCATCATCATAGCTCACTGCAACCTCAAACTCCGAGGTTCAAGTTATCCTTTTGCCTCAGCCTCCCCAATAGCTGGGACTATCGGCAACTGCCATCTTACCCTGCTTAGTTTTTCTATTTCTGGTAGAGAAAGGGTCTTAGTCTTGCTCAGGCTGGTCTCGAACTCCTGAGCTCAAGTGATCTCCCTGCCTCTGCCTCTCAAAGTGCCAGGATTACAGGTGTGAGCCATGGCACCCAGCCCTAAAAATTAATTGTAATGCCAAATACAATTGCTACATCTCAGGGATTCCATGCTTCTATTATTAAGCTTACTGCCAACAAACATCCATTGAAAGCTATGGATATTCTGAAATTTGTGTCACACTACCCACCCCCAAATTCATAGGAGGGAACTAATCCACAGTGCAATAGAACTAATAGGTAGGGCCTTTATGAAGTAAATGGGTTATGAGGGCTCTGCCCTCCTGAATGAGATTAAGGCCTTAATAAAAGAGCCCCAAGGGTGCATGTTGCTCCTTCTACCATATGAGGACACAGTAAGAAGGTTCCATATTTGAAGCAGAGAGCAGCCCTGAACAGATACTGAATCTCCTGGTGCCTTTATCTTGGACTTCCCACCCTCCAGAACTGTGAGAAATAAATTCCTGCTGTTTATAAATTAATCTCAGCCTAAGGGATTTTATTATAGCAGCCTGAGTGGACTAAGATAGATGACCTGACCAGGCAGCACTGGGAACCTTGGTCCACAGCTGAGCTCAAGTCCTGCTACTGCTGTTTACTGTGTGACATCACAGAAACCAAACCCTTAATTTTTTTAACTGTGAGGCTATGAGACTATCTTAGGTATCCACTGTGAGGATTAAATGAGATGATATGTAAAAGAGATTTTGAAATTATAAAATAGTATACAAATGTCAGTCAGTCTGACCTCCCACTTGGATTACTGTAAAAACCCAACTGTTCTCTTCCCTTCCCCCTCTTCTGTCCATGCCACACAAGCCTAACACCCTAACTTTGAACCAGACCTTGTTCATTCTTTCAGTAAACTCACAGAGCACTGGGTGCAGGTGAGGCTCAGGCCTGGGTGACAGGCAGGGAGGAGGGTGCAGAGGCCGAGGGCTCTTGCAGCATCTCACAGGCCTCCCTGGCTTTACACACCTGAGTGGTCTTGGTGTAGGCTCCTCCCAGCACCTGGGGCCACGGCTGTCCCTGCAGGTGATTCACAGCCCCTCCTGTCTTTTTCAGGTTAACTTTGCATCTCTGTTTGTTGGAATTTAGTCTATTCTTTAAGAACTAACTGCTTCTCTTCTCAGTAATTATTGAGGATTACGTGTTACTAAACACTTTCCGTGAATTATTTCATTTTATCTTCCCAACAGTCCTATAAGGTAGAAGTTACTCTCATCCATGTTTTATGGATGAGAAACTGAGGCTTGGAGAGATCAGCTCATAATGGGGAGCTGAGATCCCCCTGTGCCCCAACTTCAAAGCCAGTGTTCCTACTTACAACACAGGCCTTCACTCAGAAACTGCCTTCTTCCCTGATGCCTCCAATACCCAATAGGATTTCTTCATCCTGAAAACCCTTAGGCCCTAATTTCTGTCCATTTACAACACCTTTACATTCTGCATTTTTTTTTTACTATAGGCATTTATATGTTTGTTTTAGGCCTAACATTAATTGCTGCTTAGGGCAGCCACTGTTTCCAGTATATATTTTTTACATTCCTATAGCTCTGTTATAGTGTCCTATGTGTGGTAATACTCAGGCAATAGCTATCAAACTGAAAATAACTAGTAGTTGGTCCAAATGTTATTAAACACTGTCCACTCCAAGCAGAATGAACCAGCTGGGAGAAAAGCCAGACTGATGCCACGGCTCAATGACAAGCCTGTAACATTCATTGCTTCATGTATGGAAACACATGAAAGGGAAAGCAAAATAATGACTCTCCAGCCATCACCAACTCACATGAGTACTAGTATGCTTCAGCCCTAGGTATATCTGCTGGTGACTCCAGTACCCAGATGGGGACCTCTGCCCATCTGCTGGGTCTCATGGCCTCTTCTTCTCCAATGGTCTCGTCCTCCCCAGCCCAGCCACACTCTCCCAGGTCACACCCTAGACTCTTCCCTCAACTCCACTCCCCGCAGCTTCCTCTAGGCAATGCCTCTAGTCTTTCTGCCTCTACCAGGAGGTGCCTTGACTCCATGGAATCTGACCTTTCCCTAGTCCTCCTCTGGAGCCAGCATCGATTCCATGGGCCACTACTTAGTTTCTCCTTCGCAGACACCCCAGCTCCTGGCCAATCTATTGCCTCATCACCTCTGCTGAGTCAGCAGCTCCCTGCCTGCTCCTTCCTGGGTGTGGGGGGCACAACACACAACCGCAGCCACCCACCTCCTGTCAAATCCACGGGAGCCCTAGATGCTGCCAAGAAACCCCTGCTACTTCACAGTGCTCCATACCTCCTCTGTTCTCATCTCTTCCACCTTGAGAAAATAGAAGTCCCACAAGAAAGTCTCCCCCACTCACCTTCTCCCCATTGCACTGGCCACAGGTGCTGGCTCCCATCCTCCCCACCGTGGACTTTGCCCCAGCCAATCCCTGCTTCCTTCTGGTGTTCCTGCTCAGGCCCCCATCTGGAGTCAGTCTAGACTCCTCCCCACCACACTGGCAAATCCTGTAGGCCTTGCCTTCAGGATCCACCTGAAGTCTGACAGTTGTTGTCTTCTGACAGTTGTTGTCTTCCGACACTTCCTATACCTGCTCTACCACCACTGAGGTCTAAGCCACCCCCTATCCTCACCTGAATTACTGCAAAGCCCTGGATGGCCTCCCTGTGTCCAGTCTACCCACTCCCTTCCCAGCATTCTTCTCAGAACTCCGTGATGGCTTCATGGCCATCAGAGTAAAAGTAATACTCAAGGCCTGACAACAATGGCCCTGGGTCTTCCGCCTTCCATTCTGTTCCCTCTAAGCCCTGCTACTGTCACATCCCACTGACAGTAAACAGAACAGGGCAGTGGGGGCTTTTGTTTAACTCACTGCTGTATCCCCAGTGCATGGGACAGTGTCTGGCACATAGATGCTCAATAAATCCCTATTTAATGAAAATAAATGAAAAAAAATACACTCAAAAATAATAAATAGTGGTTTAAGATAAATAACAAAGAGAATCTCTCTCAGTGATTTAGTGTCTGGGCAGCCAGACTGTGTACCAGGTCTCCATGCTGTGACACACAATGCCAGTGTCATCCTTGCAGGGCCCTTAACAGAATCAAGGGAAGTGTCTATGCAGCACCTGGCACAGAGCCAGGTGCGTGGCAGGCCTTCAAGTCAGAGTGTCTATAGGGCTATAATCCCTGGGCAGCTGGTTGAAGAAAGAAGAAACCCTTACTATTTCAAAACACATTCAAGATTAGTTCTATGTTTCATTTCATATAAAGTTGGTCAATGAAACAAGGCTCAGCTGTTTTCTGGTAAGCAAATGACAGCCTTGCTACCACTCTTCCCTCTCAGGAGCATCTTCTGAGAAAGCAAACAATGAATTTTACTCTGCTTTGCCCTGATTGATCAGATCAGACCCCAATTAAGTCATCTCCCAGATCACTTCTGGACACTTTTCTCCACTGCCCTCTTTGAACTTCGATGAGAAGCCAAGGCAGGGCCGTCACCCGGAGGCAGGCTCATCTCGAGCTCTGAGTGAATTCTGGAGCCCAAGCACCTACTGTGAAGCTGCAGTGGCTGGCGCCGAGCCTGGGCAGCAGGCCTCACTTGCAGGAGATTGACAGCCTGCATCCTGGAGTGAGTTGTTCAACCTCCCAGCCTCCACATAGCCTGACCTACCATTCTGCAGATAGATTTGGTCTCCTCTGAAAACTTCTTGGAATACTCCTCAGTATCTTCCTTGACTCTTCGTTCTACCTCCTCCCGTTTGACTTTCTCTTTGAATTTTCTGAATGGAGAATGTCCCTGAATCATTTCATATATAAGACAGCCAAGTCCCCACCAATCAGGACTAAATGTATAGTTTTCATTATCGATAACTTCAGGAGCTATATAACAAATACAGGAAATTTAAATTAAATTACATTTTGGTTTTAAATTTTCTTGTAATTAATTCCAATAATAAATTATAAATTCAATGTTTGTTACAACATGGATAAATCTTAAAAACATTATGTTAAGTGAAAGAAGCCAGATATAAGCAGCCAAATATTGTGGTTCTATTTATATGAAATAGAACAGACAAATCCATAGAGACAAGAAGTCAATTAGTAGTTGCCAGGGCCGGGCGTGGGCGGTGAGGAATGGAGAGTGACTGAATAGGTACAGGGTTTCTTTTTTGAGGTGATAAAAATGGTCTGAAATTAGACAGTGGTGATGGTTGTGCAACTCTGTAAATACACAAAAATCCACGAATTAAATACTTCAAATTGGTGGCCTTTATGGTATGTGAATTATAAATAAAGGTGTTATTTTTAAAATGTTTGTATTCTTCATACAGGATGAACTGAATTGCCACAGAGTAACATTAACATGGGAAAATGATGCTCTTGGGAAGACCCCGCCTCCAGAAGGTGCTCCCTCCAAACATGTACAGCCATGCCCACGGGTACCCCCAGTGCATTGCCACCTATACCTACACGTCAATCAAAATCCCCCAAAGCTGGTGACAGCAGAAATGGCTGGGGTCTTACTGCAGGGCTCAGCGAGGCCACCAAAGGCCACCCCTGGGGGTCAGGCTGGCACTGCCCATGGACCTTTGGAACAACCCCCTTTGGAATAACCCAAGTAGGATGATTTCTCAAGGGGTCAGCAAGGCTGGTGTGCACAGGGAGTGGACTTTGGCAGAGTGGCAGACCTGCAGCCTCGTCCTGGTTCTACCCTCACTTAGGCATGTGACTCAGGACTCAGAGCCCTCTCTAGGCCTCACTCCTCATCCATAAGAAGAGGCAGCAGACTAGAGGATTCCTCAGCAGTTTCAAAACTCTGACTGGTTGAAGTCTTCAAAATACCACTGTACCCTCTACCAGTGTGTTCAAATTAAGCTTCAGGTCCATTTGTGTTGAGATTCCTCCATGTTCTGAGGCACTCAGACATCCAGACAGAGAGGACAAGGACCGCCGACATGTTCTCTCACATACCCATGTAGCCAACTGTTCCAACTCTTCCTCGAACCGTCTGCCCTTCTGGGATCTCCACAGCTAAACCAAGGTCTGAAATCCGGATATGTCCTGTGTGTGTTCAAATACATTACACAAGTCACAGGAGGATGTGATGACACTTTAACAACAATAAAAATTGGGAAAAAATAATCTTAACTACCATGGATGGAAATAATAGCATTTTATGCTCTGGAACAATTAAATGTAAAACTACACTTAACTTTTTCACATTTAGTAAAATTCTATACAGTGCATTCAGTTTTACTAATAGCAGGAAATTAGATTTATGCATGGCTGTTGATCAGGAAGCCCTTTAATCATAGACAACCATGTGATAAGACAGAGGTATTGTATTTATTATTTTATTTCCATATAACTACCAGGTACATAAATGAAAAATATAATGAACATTTTATCAACTACAAAATAGTAAATAAACACATTCTGTCAGAGTACCAATAGGCTTATCTACAAGGACAGGTATATGTGAATGATATGGAGTTTTTCTCTAGAGAACAAATGTTAATCAAGTCAGGGAAATAATAAACAAAATTAAGGTATTTCACTTAAAGAACTATATTATGTTTTAATGCCTTCTATATAGGAGTATTTAAATATTTGTTCAACTATAGGCTGGACGAGGTGGCTCACACCTGTAATTCGAGTACTCTGGGAGGCTGAGGTGGGAGGATTGCTTGAGGTCAGGGGTTCAAGACCAGCCTGAGCAAGAGTGAGACTCCATCTCTACTAAAAACAGAAAAATTAGCCAGGCATCATGGTGTGCATCTGTAGTTCCAGCTTTTCAGGAGGCTGAGGCAGGGGAATTGCTTGAGCCCAGGAATTTAAAGTTGCAGTGAGCTCTAATACTCCCTCTGCACTCTACCCAGGGTGATAGAGTGAGACTGTCTCAAAAAAAAAATGTTTTTTGTTGAACTACTATGAAAATAACAAATTACAGAAAAAGTTCTTTTGAGAGTATAGAAAGATAAGCCAGCCCTGGAAGCAGATGCCCTCTTAACATATTCACCACCTGTCCCCCCAGCTTCTAATATATACCTGGCATATATAGTATAGTGGGTTCTCAATAAATATTTATTGAAGAAAGGAATTAACAACCAATAAATATTTACTGAACGCTAAAAATATGCAACATGCCCTTCAAGGCACTGAGATCATTCTAAAACAGTCTACATTATACTTCAGACAGGAAAATCAATCTGTGACGTGGCTTGCATGCATGAGATGAACTATGCCATGCCTTGCTGCAGGCCCGCTCTCAGGAGGCAGGAGTATAGAGGGTTCTGCACAGATTCTGGAGCCATATGGTACGTGTCTGAGTCCCAGCTCTGCCATTTACTGTCATGTCTCAGTTTCCTCCCTTTATATAGATACAGGCTTTCAACAATGCAGCTCTCATGTATTTTATGTTTAAGTGGAATACTGGCATGACTTATTTTTTAAGTATTATAGTCCTATTTTTCTTTTAAAAAGTGATTTTTAAAATGAGAAATGCAAATTAAAAACTACACTGAAATACCAATCCCCACCTAACAAACTAACAAAAACCCAAAAAGCTGAAGACATAGTCTGCTGGCAAAACTGTGGAGAAACAAGCAGGAATGCAGACCAAGACAATATCCTGGAGTGGAATTTGGCAATATTTGGCAAAATTGCATGTGAATTTACCCACTTCTAGGAATCTATCAGAAGGATACACTGATATCCTAGGAAATGGCATGTGCACAGGGCTACTCGTTGCTACACTAACTGAAATAGCAAAAGAGTGGAAACAACCCAATATCAGCGAGGACTGGGCAAATAAAGCAGGTTCATCTGCAGCAGGGATAAAGGAGAACTCCACTGAGTGTGGTAGAGAAAGTCTTGTTATATATTAAGTAGAAAAGCAAAGTGGAGGCTGAGCATGGTGGCTCATGCCTGTAATCCCAGCACTGATGCAGGAGGATCACTTGAGACCAGAAGTTTGAGATTAGTCTGGCAACATAGTGAGACCCCCGCCTCTACCAAAAATGTTTAAAAAGCTAGCCAGGCATAGTGATGCGATCCTGTAGTCTCAGTAACTTGGAAGATTGACGTGGGATGATTGCTTGACCCCAAGAGTTCAAGGCCAACCTGGGCAACATAGTGAGACCCCACCTCAAAAAGGAATGGGGAACAAATATTATATTTACACATACGCTGTATGTAAGTGAAAGAATTTTAAAAATGAGCTAAAATGATTACTTGAGGAGGTAGACAGAGATAGAATCTAGATGTCTTTGAATATGCTTGGTTTTTCAGTTTTGTCTTTGGAACCACATAAATTTTTTACATAATTATAACATTTTAAAAATTAGATCACTAAAAATTAAAAACAAAATGAAGAAAATGAAACTATGGTATATCAAGCTGGTGGCTTAATCACACAGGATATTAAGTGACTTTACAATAATTTGACTGAACAATTCTAGAACCAAAGAACTTTTGCTAACAGCCAAAAGAACTGCAAAGAAATCTTATGTTATTTTCAATAATCTTACTAATATTAACATTGTTATTCTAAAACTTTTACATATATAGTGGATAAAATAAGTAATTAAGCTCATGTTGTTAGGAACTAATACTTTTAGCATTAGGCAAAAAGCACAAATATGAAATGAAGAATTTAAATAAGAATTAGAAATAATAATATGAATTCATGATAAATATTTTCTTTTGGTCTCAAGATGCCACTTTCCACACAGAGGATCAGAGCTTTGGAGAAATGGTGGGTTCCAGGTCTTATTCAGCATGTGTGCAGGACAATCCTTACATAGAAGAAGAGAGGAAAGTTATTAAAGACTTGCCCACTAGCCAAAGTTGGGAGAATCTGAATAGCAAAAAGAATAATGATGCAAATAGATTAAAACCTTTAAATGTGTTAAAATCCATGAGTTCATAATGATACCAAGACAAAATAAAAACTTTACTGGTTGTCTTGAAGGATGACAGAGAACCAAGGCAATATCCTGATAGTGGAGATAAAGAGAAGTACTCATTTGCTTTTCCTGAAAGAGGCAAATAAATGTTGATGAGATAAAGTTTTTTTTTTAAACAGATGAATCCCAACAAAGAAGTACAAAAGGAATGATAGCATTAGAATATCATTATTTTATAATCTCAATGAAGTAATGTATATGAATATTGATCATTAAGCCATTAAGTGAAAGACTAGAGGGGAGATGAATAATGAATGATTGAGGCCGACCAACATCCGAGAGCACTGATCAATCTTAACACCATAAAAAGAGACACTTGGCCATCACATGCCTCTTGATGTAATATAACAGGAAGTGCTTAAGAAGGATGCTTACCAAAAATCAAACCTAGATCTCTTCCAGCCTCTAGATCTAACTACTAGCTTACAGGAAAACAGGAGAATAGGGCACACATTAAATCCAGCCAAATCCAGAATACAGGAAATTCCACAGGACAAATGACCTGTGTATTAGTTTGCCAGGGCTGCCATGATGAAGTACCAGAGACTAGGGGCTTCAACAACAGAAACTTATTTTCTCACATTCTGGAGGCTAGAAGTCCAAGATCAAGGTGTTGGCAGGGTTGGTTTTATTCTGAAGACTCTCTCCTTGGCTTGGGGGAGGCCATTTTCTTCCTCTGTCTTCACATGGTCATCTCTCTGCGCATGTCTGAGTCCTAATCTCTACTTATAGGACAACTGTCATACTGGATTTAGGCCCACCCTAATCACCTCTATAAGACTTCATCTCCAAGTACAGTCACATTCAGAGGTGGTGGGGGTTAGGAATTCAACATATAGATTTTGCAGGGACACAATTTTTGGCCTATAACACCTAGTTTCACGAACAAATAAATGACAAAAAGAAGCAGGGAAGAGGACCCTATGAGGTTAAAAAATAAGAATATTATCAACCAACTATTAATATAATGTGGACTTCATTGACTACTCAATATACAACTCTAAAAACACTTATGAAACACAGAAAATTTAAAGCTGATGGGGTATTACATCATGTTAAGAAATCTCTAAATATTTTTGGATATAATAATAGTATTGTCTTTATGATAAAAGAGTGTCCTTGTCTTTCATAGATACATACTTTATGGATAAAATGATGTAATGTATAGGATTTCTTTTAAAATAATTATCAGTAATAAAATGCTACTGGTTTTTACAATGGCTCCCTTTTTATTTCTCTTTTTAAGAATATATATTTCACAAAACTGAAAATACAAGCATGACACCGTTTTCTTTGTTATCTAAACTACCAGCTGAATTTTATGAACCAAGTCCCCCTTAATAAGTAACTTTGCAAAAACAGAGTGCTGGCATATTTGGGACGGACAAATGTGCTAAATGTGCTAAATGTGCTAATGTGCTAAATGTGCCTCACAGCCTGAAACAGATGTTAATCAGCTTTTTTACCTAATGCCACCACAAACGTAAAATTCTGCTTTACAGATGAAAACAGAAAACCTAACAAGCTGTCTAGAAGGGAAATGAGGAAGTATTTACATAATCACGTTATTCTTTTTTTTTCCTGAGAGACGGGGTCTCACTATGTTGCCCAGGCCGGAGTGCAGTGGCTATTCATAGGTACAATCATAGTACCTACACCCTTGAACTCTGGCCTAGAGCAATCCTCCCACCTCAACTCTGAGTAGCTGGGACTACAAGCCAGCTTTCATGTTACTCCTAACATGTCAATTTCATTCATAAATAAGTAAGATGACTTATATATCACTTACTAGCAGAAACTCATTCCTAGGAATTTTAATTGTATGAAAGTAAAAACTCCTAAAATCAGTTGCATTTTTTAAGTCATAGAAACTGAAGTATGATCCAATACATAGGATTCCATTTTTAAAAAATTTTAAAAGGGAAAGTGAAAGAAAAGGAAATTAAGTCTCCTGAAATCAAGAAGACTAAAACAATGATTTGTTATTCCTTTTCATTCTTTGTTTTCCTTAAGAGATAGCGTCTGGCTACGTTGCCCAGGCAGGCCTCGAACTCCTGGGCTCAAGTGATCCTCCTGCCTCAGATTCCCAAGTACAGCTTTCTATTCTTAATTGGAACATGACTGGGTCCATGGTCTATAAAGAACAAGTAACACAGTAATTACCACATAAATGGTTCTGGGCTCTTGCTTCAGGGGAGAATGGAGAAGGTCTTGGCAGGCCAAGACTACTACCTACTATAAGTACAAGAACTTAATAAATCACAAAAGTCATCCTTTTACAGGCATCAGCAAGCCATGGCAGTAACACAGACTAGACGTACTAAATTTCCAAAGCAGCAAGGCCTCCAGAGGTGCACTGACAAGTGGCAGTGGTGTTTCCCTTAGAAGCATTTGCACACTCCATACAAATCATGAGCTACCGACTGGGAGGGGTCTGACACAGATGTTCCAGCTGCCTCCACCTGGGACTGAGAGGTTCAGAGTCTAGAGTGGACCATTTGGAGCTACTGCTAGCTGTAGCACAAATTTTGGCACTCATGTGGCATTGGAGAGACAAACCTGAAGACCTAAGGACCTCAAAAGCAGAATGGTCTCCCCTCAAAATATCAGGAAATAGAATGTAGCAATCTAAAGGGTAACACATTATGCCCAAGTTGGATGTGTTTCAGGAATGAAAGGTTAATTTAACATTTGAAAATAAATTTGCTTAATTAACTACATTAACAGAAAATGAACATCATAATTATCTTGATAAAAGCACTGACAAAATTCAATGGTCATTCATCGTTGTTTTTTTTGTTTTGAGACAGAGTCTCACTTTGTTGCCCAGGCTAGAGTGAGTGCTGTGACGTCAGCCTAGCTTACAGCAACCTCAAACTCCTGGGCTCAAGCGATCCTACTGCCTCAGCCTCCAGAGTAGCTGGGACTTACAGGCATGCGCCACCATGCCCGGCTAATTTTTTTCTCTATATATTTTTAGTTGGTCAATTATTATTATTTTTTTTTTTGAGACAGAGTCTCGCTTTGTTGCCCAGGCTAGAGTGAGTGCCATGGCATCAGCCTAGCTCACAGCAACCTCAAACTCCTAGGCTCAAGCAATCCTACTGCCTCAGTCTCCGGAGTAGCTGGGTCGATAGGCATGCGCCACCATGCCCAGCTAATTTTTTCTATATATATTAGTTGGCCAATTAATTTCTTTCTATTTATAGTAGAGACGGGGTCTTACTCTTGCTCAGGCTGGTTTCAAACTCCTGACCTCGAGCAATCCACCTGCCTCGGCCTGCCCGAGTGCTAGTATTCATCTATTTTTAAATGAAAAATTTTAAATCTCATAAAGAATTGCTACAAAAGTACTATAGCAAATTCATGCTTAATGGTGACATATTGGAAGGTTGCCCCTAAGATCAAGAACAAGAAAGGAATTCCTATTTACCACTTCTATTCAACATTGAACTGAAAGTCCTACCCACTATCATATGTAAGAGAAAGAAATAAAAGACATAAGAATTGGAATGGGCCAGGTGCAGTGGTTCAAGCCTTATAATCCTAGTACTTTGAGAGGCCAAGGTGGGAGGATCAAGTGAGGCCAGGAGTTCAAGACTAGCCTGGGAGAACTAGCAAGATCTTATCTCTACAAAAAAATTAAAAAATTAGCCAAGCATACATCTGTAGTCCCAGCTACTTGTGAGGCTGAGGCAGGAGGATCCCTTGAGCCTGGGAGTGTCAGGCTGCAGTGAGCTGACACTCAGTGCAGATGATGCACTGCTGGGGCAACAGGGGGAGAACCTGTCTTCAAAAAAAAACAAAAGAAAAGAATTGTAATGGTAAACATAAAACTGTCATCTGTGTCATCTGCTGATGGCATAATGGTGTATATAGAAAAATCCAAAAGCATCCACAAGCTTTTAGAATTTAGTGACTTTAGCAAGGTCAGTGGACTTAAAGTCAATTGTAATTATAACTAAAAACACAATCCATGAAAGAAAAAAATTGACAAACAGGATTTTGTTAAAGTTAAAAACTTCTGTTCTGTGAAAGAAACTATTAAGAAAATGAAAAGGCAAGCCACAGACTGGGAGAAAATCTTTGTAAAACACCTATCTGATAAAGGACTGATATCAAAATCTGCAAAGTATTCTTGAAATTCAACTATAAGAAAATAGACAATCCAATTAAAAAATGGGCAAATTATCTGTCTCAAAAAAGAAAGAAGACAAAAATGTAGAATATTTTGTGGTGTAGGAGTGGGTAAATATTTCTTGATCAAAACTTAAAAAGCACTAAATATAATGAAAAAATAATTCATAAATCATAATCTACTAAAATTAAGAATGCCTGGGGCTTCTGCTTCCAGCTAAGAAGGAATAACTAATACAAAACTTGGTTTTCCACCATAATAACTAAAACATGGTCAATTTGGCATCAGAGGACTGCAGTTCCCAGGGAAGAGAAACAGGGGGCTGATCATTGTGGGGTCCTGCCGAGGAGTGCCTTTCAGATGAGGGCACAGGAGTGGGAACCTAAGCAGAGCAGGTGGTCTTGCCAAGTTAGGGAGGCAGATATTAGGATTAAGGGAAAATGGCTCAACTCAAATGTGTGGTGTAAAGTTCTGGAGAGGGAGCTACAGAGAGAAAAATCTACTTAAAGTAAATGAAAAGGTGTCAGTCTCAGTGTAAGGTCTGCTCTCCAACCTTGTTTTCACTCCTAATAGTTTCTTTTGATTCTTCCTTTATGATTCTTTACATATATATAAGAACACACAAATATACATTACGAATTCCCCTCTATTTTTACACAAAAGGTAATATACTTCATACACTACTGCATCTACTTTTTTCCAATTCACAGCATATCCTAGACACCGCTGCATTTCCCATACAGAGTGTGTCCTCCCCTTTTTAAGCCACTTTAATGACACCTCTGCTTGGCAGCATGGCAAAACATGTGAACAACAGGGTGAAAGCCAGAAGCTATGGACACAACCTTAGGCAAGTTTACTTCCCAAATCTTGGTATCACCTTCCAATAAGATGAGAATTCCAGTACTCTCCTCCCTCACAGGGTAGGGGTTTCATGCATAAATTACATAAAAAGTGTGAGGGCACTGGGCAGATGTATAAAAGGAGCTGAGCATTCAATATATTCCCCTCAGGACTCTACCTTACACACCTGTTCTCTTCTCCCTTGCAGGAGTCCCTGTGGCCTTACTCACACTCTACTAGGCTGTAAGATCCTTCTTAGCCAAGAAGACTCACTTGAGAAAAGCTCCCTCCCAACACTGCCTATGTAGCTGTGTGTGAGCACAACAGCCATCCTGGCAATGGTGCCCATGCTTATGCTCTAGGTATGATCGTCACCCAAGGATACCATGGCTGAGTGGGCACCCATATGCTGTTGGTTGGGAGCCAGCCTAACGGGGTCATTCCCTGTCCACAGCCACAGGGTCCCCACACAGACATCTCGGGCCCTGCTCTGTGACATATGCTCTGTGACAAGAGGATAGAACCAAGGGCAGCATGACAATGTTTAGGGGGCACGGAAATAAAAACCAAAGGAATGAAGACAGACCAGAGTCAACGGCAAGAAAGAGGGAAAATGTTCTCACTTTGAGTTTACTCTAATATGCTTCTAAAACTCAATCTTAACTGAAAATTATGACCTTTCGGCTTCTTGCCTAAAATAGAGGAACAACATTATCTATATATTATTTTTTTCAAGAACACATTCCAAAGAGTTTCTCTTTTTGTTGTTGTTTCTATTCTGTATTTTGTTTTTGAGACAGAGTCTCACTTTGTTGCCCAGGCTAGAGTGAGTGCCGTGGCATCAGCCTAGCTCACAGCAATCCTACCGCCTCAGCCTCCCGAGTAGCTGGGACTACAGGCATGCGCCACCATACTTGGCTAATTGTTTATATATTAGTTGGCCAATTAATTTCTTTCTATTTATAGTAGAGGCAGGGTCTCACTCTTGCTCAGGCTGGTTTTGAACTCCTGACCTTGAGCAATCCGCCCACCTTGGCCTCCCAGAGAGCTAGGATTACAGGCGTGAGCCACCTCGCCCGGCCTCTATTCTGTATTAACTGGCTAAATCCACATTAAATTTCTGTCTCCAAGTCCCTCTAACAGAGTCTATGCTTTAGAGATGAAAGGCTCGCTCACTTACCATGATCATCGAGGAGAATATTCTCAGGCTTTAAGTCCCTACAAGGAAAGAAACAACAAAAACCTCAATTATTCAGAAGCTGACACTGTGATTCCTGAGTACCCAGCAGAAATAACTACAGATGTCTCTGCAGCAAGGAGCAACAGCCAGAACAGGAAACAAAACCACCCTTTGGGAGCCCTTCATGGCCATGGGCTGTAGTTGTTACATGGCAGGACAAGACTTCTACAAAATTCATCTCAACAGACAATGTGTGTATGATGACAATGTAAAGTGAACTGCTTTGCATAGTTATACAGATTTGAAAATATTGCAGTGATTAAATGTGCAGTCCAGTAGTAAGGAAAGTCCTTAAGTAAATTAGTCCTTAATGAACTTGGCTCAATTTCTCTTATCATTAATATATTTTTAAGAATTTCAACAACTGAAAATTTCCCCTATTAGGAGTTCTCAGTTTGGGGATCAGACATAAGTGGATTCAAACCTTGCCTCTGCCACTTATCAGCTGCGTGGCCTTAACCTCTGGAGCCTTATTGTCCTCACCTGTAAAATGGAGTGGTCACTGCCCACCTCCCCACACAGGTTTGGATGAGATCATGTCTCATAGCAGGAAGTGTATAATAAACAGCAGTTACTCTTATTTATAGTTCCCTGTAAAGGTGGAGGGATACTACAAACTTCTAATACATTCAAAACATAAAAACTAAAATATCTTAAAGTAATATCTCAAATTATTGACTTGTTTTTTTCCCTTTGAGAGAAAAAAAATTATTTTCAAAGAATTATATTTAACTCTGATTTCATGTTTGGCCCTATCATGACAATCCAGCTTCCCTGAGCATCACCTGTCAACCTGTGGACACATCACTAGAACGCAGGAGGAGGGGCTGAAGCCAGCAGAGAACAAGAACCCTGAAAATAATGCAGGAGCATTGATCCCCTGTTATACAAACTCCAGATTTTGCTTCTGACAGTTACATCAAAGACAACTGATGGGGGAAGTGGTCTGGCCTCCACGACATCAATCTCAAATTGCTTCTTCTCCGTATTCACTGTGCATGTCTATAATATAATATAATATACATATACATCTATGTATAATAATATACATCTACAAATAGCATTTATCAGGCTGATTTTTTTTTTTTTTTTTTTGGGAGGCTGAGGCAGTAGGATCACTTGAGCCCAGGAAATTGAGGTTGCTGTGAGCTAGGCTGATGCCTCGGCACTCACTCTAGCCTGGGCAACAAAGTGAGACTCTGTCTCAAAAAAAAAGAAAAGAAAAGAAAAGAAAACTACATTTGAAATAGCATCAAACAAATAAAACACTTAGGGATATATTTAGCCAAAAAAGTACAAGACTTCTACACTGAAAACTGTAAGACAATGCTAAGAGAAATGGAAGATCTAAAATAAATGGAGAGGCCAGGCGCGGTGGCTCACGCCTGTAATCCTAGCACTCTGGGAGGCTGAGGCAGGTGGATCGCTCAAGGTCAGGAGTTCAAAACCAGCCAGAGCAAGACCCCGTCTCTACTATAAATAGAAAGAAATTAATTGGCTAACTAAAATTATATAGAAAAAAATTAGCCAGGCATGGTGGCGCATGCCTGTAGTCCCAGCTACTTGGGAGGCTGAGGCAGAAGGATTGCTTGAGCCCAGGACTTTAAGGTTGCTGTGAGCTAGGCTGACGCCCTAGCACTCTAGCCCAGGCAATAGAGAGTGAGACTCTGTCTCAAAAAAAAACAAAACCAAAAAACCCCCACACATTCACATAAAAACGTGTATACAGATGTTCATAACAGCATTATCCATAATAGCTAAAAAGTGGGAAAAATCCAGATGTCCACCAACTGGTGAATGGGTAAACAATATGTGGTCTATCCATACAATGGAATAGTACTGAACAGCAAGAAGGAGGTACCACTGATAAATGCTAAAACACAGATGAACCTCAAAAACATTATGCTAAGTAGAAAGAAGCCATGTATTATATGATCCCATTTATAGGAAATGTTTAGAAAAGGAAGAGCTCTAGAGATGGTAAGCAGACCACTGGTTACTGGGTGTGGGAACAGGGAATAACTGCAAATGGGCACAAGCCATCTTTTGGGAGTGAGGGAAATATTTTAACATTGGGTTGTTGTAGTGATGGTTGCACTACCCTGTAAATTTACTAAAACTTATTGAATTGTATGTGTAAAATGAGCATATTTAATGATATGCAAATAAAATGTTAATTTTTTTGTTTTAATTTGTTTAATCCCTACCTCTTCCCACCCTCCCCCCAAAAAGGAGCCTGATGACCTGGGTTTGCATCTGGATGTTGCCACCAGGGAAAGGGTGACCTTAGTGTGTTGCTCCCCTCAGGCATATCAAACTTGTCTGGCATACAGAATAAGCTCCATTCTGCTCAAAAGACAAATGAGTGGATGGGAGGGTCAGTTTTCTGTGTGAGAATATGAAATCTCAAGGTACTTTTAGATTTTGAAAACTCAGTTCTATTTAATTTAATGCTTCCTAGGAATCAATTTCTTATCAGTACTTTTGACTCAAAATGGTTTGCACTCATTCTCACCTTGCATCACCTCGTGACTGCATGGTGCCTCTCTGGAACCTTTGTTTAGCACAGAACAAGCAGATCCGGCTCTGGACAGGCATAGCCTGTGAGAGGCATGCTTACTTTCTTCAGATGGCAGTCCTCTCTCATCTTTGGCTTTCTAATGTGATTGGCGGTCTGATTTCAGGTGTTACAGCCATGATTTGAGAGGTAATTATCTCTCTGCATACACATTTCATATCTCATGTCACATATAGCTGTGAGCCAAGGCCCAGTTTGTCTCGGGCAGATAGGATCATACCTGCATTTGTGATAAGGGGAGAACTGTGGTAGCAAGCATGTCTCCCAGCTAAGCAGGCCCTCAGAGGTCCTCTGGTAAGGCGCAACCTCTTTATTAAATGGGCTGAGAAAACAGAGGTCCAGAGAAATTAAACAAATGACAAGTAGTGTAAGATTTTTATTTCTGTGTATGTTCTTTTGAGCCACAAGGTTACATTAAACTAGGATTTAAGATTTTTTAAAAATTTGCATAGCATATACTTCTTAAACCTTGTGAATATTATTTTATAAATCTCCCATCCCAACATGAGGCAGTATATTTTGGAGGTTTAGGGCCCATGTTCCATATAAGGCAATATATTGTGGTGGTTTAGGGCCCATATTCCATATAGCCTGAGTTTCACCTCTCCCTGCTGTATGACTGGGGCAGGGGAATGTGCCTCTGAGCCTCATTTTACTTATCTACGAAATGAGGACAGTACACAGCATTTCCTTAGAAGAGGAGGAAAGCTAATGAGATAACACATACATTCTGCACAGTACCAGCATACAATACACACGCAAAAAATGTTTGCTGTATTTACTTCAGGCCTTATTCTTAACAAGCAGCAGGGTGTAGCAAAAAGACTAGAACTTTTAAAGTCAGACAGATCTCTGTCCAGATCTAGCTCCTGTTCTTACTGGCAACACACCCTTGGAACAAGTGTTCTCTGGTGGAGAGTATCTACCCACACTGCTGGGCCTGAACAGGGAGCTCCCAGACAACATGAATGGAGTCACCGCAGTGAAGACCAAAGCTTCCTCAGAATGATTCAGACAGGATGAATTTTTAAAAGTACATTTTCTTATCAAAACCAGCAGACACATTTCCAGCATTTAACTTAAAAGAAATGGACTGTCCCTCCACTGAAAGCTCTGGCAGAGCTGTGACTGGTTAGCCTTGGGCAGAGGGCTGGGGTGAGAAGCAGGACTCTGTGCTGTCCCAGGGTGATTTTCTCCTTAAAGGTAAAGTGTGACTAAAGACAATGGTGGTCCCCAAGCCAAGCAGAATTACTGAAACAGTGTGAAGGCAGCTCCTCTGGAGCACAACAGACACATGACACTGGGAAAAGCCAAAATGGATGTCTCCTGGCCCTCATCCAATTATCTGTTTTGTGTTTTTCTTGTGTTTCTGTAGTTGCTAAAAAATGCAATAAAACACTTTAAAAATTAGCCAGTCCTAAAATTTTCAGCCTTTTTGCCATATCCATGTGTATGCATATTGTACATATCTATGAAGAATAATTCTTTTAAGAGAAATTACAATATCAAAACACACCCTCAGCCAGGCATGGTTGTTTATGCCTATAATCCTAGCACTCTGGGAGGCCAAGGCGGGAGGATCACTTGAGACCAGCCTGAACAAGAGTGAGACCCCCGTCTCTACTAAAAATAGAAAAAATTAGCCGGGTGTAGTGGCATGCACTTGTAGTCCCAGCTACTCAGGAGGCTGAGACAGTAGGATGGCTTGAGCCCAGGAATTTGAGGTTACTGTGAGTTAGGCTGATATCACGCACTCTAGCCAAGGCAGTAGAGTGAGACTCTGTCTCAAAAATCAAACAAACACACAAATAAAAACCACAGCCTCTAAAGAAAGGCTGCAAAACATGCAGAAGGCTGTTGTTGTTCCCGCCATCTGGCTATTGACAGGCCAAGCACTTCTATGAGGCCACAGGTTGAGGATGATCTGAAGAAAAGCATTTACAAGAAAAGAAAATACAACCCCAAAACCCAAGTGCTATATTTAATAAGGAATTGGTTATCCCTGCATTATAATATTCAGATGGTGTTAGGGTACTCATGGGGTCTCTTCCTAGCCAAAGCATTTGAATTAATTTGATTTTACAGAAACTATGTTCTGTAATTTTTTAGGTAATTTTTTAAAAATACATTTGAAGGGGAAACAGTTTTCTTTTAGACTTTTGCATAACAAACTGGCAACAGAAATGTCACATAAGAGTTTGTGAGTGAAAGTACTTAGCTGGACTTAAAAACCATACACACATATTTTGTTTTAAATGCAAAGTTGACTTCTTAGATCAAGAAATGGTTATTCTCTGAGAAGTACAACACTTTCTTCTCTCAAGACCCTTCCCCCCAAATATACTTATTTCATTCATTTGCTTTTTTCATTGAATATTTGAGACAAATTGTGTTACAGGTAGATGTATCTGAGGGTATGAAACATACTACAGCCCTAAAATCACACACCTGTGGCACTAACAATGCCACATCTCTGTGGATGCGAACCTGCTCTGTGGGCCTTGAGGGCTGGGAGGGCCCCTGCTTTCCCTGGACCATAGTGCCACAGCAGCCTCAGCCACTGGGAGGGGGCTCCTGGGTCAGGCTCAGTCTGGCACTCCTTTTGTGATTGATTGTTATTATGTTGTTTCAGACATTTTATCTGAACAGAAAGGACTGTAGAGAAAAAAGATGAAATTCTCCAGGAAAATGATATTTGGAATAAAAGGCCCTCTATGACACCATGGCTTTTACTAACTGCCTAACCTCTTCTCCAAACATGTAACAGATGCAAAAGGCACACCTTGGGGCCGGGTGCAGTGGCTCACACCTGTAATCCTAGCACTCAAGGAGGCCGAGGCGGGCAGATTGCTCCAGGTCAGGAGTTCGAAACCAGCCTGAGCAAGAGCGAGACCTCGTCTCTACTATAAATAGAAAGAAATTAATTGGCCAACTAATATATATATATAAAAAAATTAGCCAGGCATGGTGGCGCATGCCTGTAGTTCTAGCTACTCGGGAGGCTGAGGCAGTAGGACTGCTTGAGCCCAGGAGATCGAAGTTGCTGTGAGCTAGGCTGACGCCATGGCACTCACTCTAGCCTGGGCAACAAAGCGACACTCTGTCTCAAAAAAAAAAAAAAAAAAAAAAAGCACAGCCTTGGGCCTGGCAGGCCAGAGAGAGCTCCTCTCCTGCCTTCTGGACAAAGGCCCTGCTGACTTTCTCCATGTTCATTCCACGAGCACTTCTCTCTTCAAGTGCCAGGCCTTTTCCTCCCTGCTCGCGTCTTAGCCATCTTTCCAGACTGTAGCTAAGTCTCAGCTCCTCCAGAACCAGTCTGGGCCTTGTTTAAAGCACAAATCCCACAGAGGCTCTCAGAAGTCTATTCCATTAAATTGCCTACAAAGTGCAAGGCTCATCTGGGCAGACTTCTCAACTGTAGTACCTGCTGCGAGGCCAATTGAAGGTTGTGCCTCTCTAGTCCCACCCGCTCTCTGGGCACCACGTCCCAGTGCAGCTGTGCCTCTCTTGGGGTAAGAAGTGAGATGGCTCCCCAGGCTAATAATTCTGACTGGTAACATCTTGTTCCCTAAGGACTGCTTGAATTCCTAAGTGCTTCAAATAGTAGTTCCTCCTCTTTCCTGACCTTTAGACTGCTGAAAAATTAAAGCATTTTATATGTACTATTTCTCTGCAAAAAAGGAAGATCATCTTGCTGGCACCCAGTTTCATCAAAAGGGTCAGGTGGCAATACTGAAAACAGGAAAAAACAGGAAAAATGACACAGAAAACATTTCCTTTGAGGTATGCAAGTAGGGCTTTAAGAGGCCCTTAGAAAAAAGGGGCGGTCACCATCAGAAGCTGAAAGCCATCAGTCACTCACGGAACATACACTCACTCAGTGATACCTACTCAAGGCGAGTCCTATGGACACGACAGTGGGCAAGGGAGACACGGTCTAGCTCCCGCCGAGCGGGCAGGCAAGGCAAATGGCAGCCAGAAGGGAAAGGAGGGGAAAGGAAGATCTTCTGCCCCATCCAGAACTTCATCTTGAGACTAGAGGCAAACACGGGGGCTCACCTGCAATCACCTGCAAAGCTGTGATTTCCTCCAGGAGTAATGTAAGAATCAAGTCTCCTACAGGTTTGCTCCATTCTCCAGTGCCACCAGACTCCACCTCTAAATAATGGCAACAAAGCACCCTTGACTCAGATGACCAGCTGTGTCCCTAGAGGAATCATTGCCAGGGCAGTCATCCAACCTTACTCAAGGTGAGGCCAGGTCAGCCCCACTGCCAAGCCTGGTCTCTGGTCCTAGAGAGATACTGAACTTGGCTATGGGTTATGTGAGAGGGAGAGAAGCCGAAGGGCCATCAGAATAGGGAGGAGTAAGATCAAGGATTCCTAAGAAGCTTCCAATCTGGCACAACCAGCTAGAGCAGACATGTGGAGCACTGAGGATGCTGGAGGGAACACACCTCGTGCTGCCAGGAAGGAGGGATTTCCTTGGGCTAACTCCGTACAGGTGAGCAGGAGGTGCTCAGAATGACTGGAAGGGGGGCTGGGGCTGCAGTGAAGAAAGGCACCAATGAGGAGCAGCATGTGAGAAGGCAGAGATGTGAGAACACTTGAGGAGTTATGCACTCATGTGATGAGGGCAGAGGGTACCCATGTGGGAGCAGCAAGAACTGAGGCTGGAAGAATCATGGGGAGACCTATCATAAATGTCAGACAGCCTGGCTTACAAGGTGACAAGGGAGATGCCATTGAGTCCCATGCCAGGATATGTCATGTGGAACAGAGACTGGGCAGGGCTGCTACTGGGGAGACCAGCTTATCTGCTGCCAGGAGACCTAAAGAGGACATGACTAAGCCAGTCACCCCAGAAAATAAAGAGTGATGTGGGAGATATTCAGGAGGGATCTGGTGACCAACTGGATCAGGAGTAGGAGGGCAAGAACTGTACTGGTCCCTCTGGAATTTAGGAAAAAGAGCAAGGCTAGAAATATCTGTTGGGAAGTGATTTGTATAATATATGTTGCTGTTCCCTGGTATCCATGGGGACTGGTTCCAGGTCTCCCCCAACAGATACCAAAATCCAAGGATGCTCAAGTCCCTGACATAAAATAGTAGTATCTGCATATAACCTACACATGTACTCCTTATACTTTAAATCATCTGTAGATTACTTATAATATCTAACACAATACAAATGCATGTAAATAGTTGTTATACTATATTGTGAATAGCAATAAGGAAAAAAAAGTCTCTACATGGTCAGTCCAGACACAACCATGTTTTGTGTTCCTCAATATTTTTGATCCATGGTTGGGTGAACCCACAATGCAGAACCCATCAATACGAAAGCTGACTGTAAGTGATAGATGAGCCCACAGAAGGGAACATGGGAAACTGCCAGGAAGAGTGACTGAGCAGAGACTCTGGCCCAGGAACTCCAGCATTTAAGGGATAAGAGGAGGAACTGTTTTTCTAAAATTAAATATACTGATTATGCTAAACTAACTGTTGAGTTTAATTTTATTTTCTTTACTGAATTGTAAGATGTAAAAAAAGAAACTATTATTTTAAAACATTTAATTATGTTATTCTGGTGGGACAAAATCAATATCATTATCAGAACTCTCAAAATATCTAAGAATCGTGAAAATGGGTTCTTCTCATGCTTATGTGACTAGCACTACCTTTATTTTATCAACTTAACAAGTAAAAAACAAACTTTTGCTTCAAACTGACAATTTATTAGAAATTAAAGAGAAACTAAAAAGAAAACCAGGGCCCACCTCTGGCCATATGTCCAACAGTGTGAATGCCACCCCTAGAAATCACCTTTGAGGGGCCCCAAGCTGCTTCTCCTGTCCAGCCTACAAATGGCCAGCAGAGCCAAGGGAAGCCCAGGGCAGGGGAGATGCAGCTGTAAGGCTTATAGTTCCCTCAGGTAGCACCCTTCTTACCTGTATACAATTCTCTCCCTCTGTAAATCTTCCAAGCCACAACACACCTCTGCAGCATAGAAAATAGCTCTCTGTTCATCAAAGCCAGGATTGCCCAGGTTGTAAATGTGAAACTTCAAATCCCCTCCATTCATAATGGTGAGTACCAAGCACAAGGCATCTTTGGTTTCATAAGTGTAGGCTAAACTAACCTAAAGACAGCAACATCATAAGAACAAAACACAAAAAACTCATTCATTGGTGATTTACTCTATTTGGTAACAATATTCAAATAATCTGTGTTAGAGTTAGAATTACAATATTTGAATACTATACACTTCAGAGAAATGTACATCATGCATCGTGTGTGCGACCTGGACCTCCACCTGTTGAAGATCTTACTGCAGCTCCCTAACAAAAGGATGGGACTTTCTTTTGGGGGCTGGTGGGGGGGAATAGGGTCTTGCTCTGTCTCCCAGGCTGGAGTGCAATGGCATCATCATAGTTCACTGCAACCTGAAACTCCTGGGCTCTAGTGATCCTCTTGCCTCAGCCCCCCTAGTAGCTAGCACAACAGGTGTAGCTGTTTTTCTATTTTTTGTAGAGACAGTATCTTGCTCTTGCTCAGGCTGGTGTCAAACTACTGCCCTCGAGTAATCCTCCTGCCTTGGCCTCCCAGAGTGCTAGGATTAAAGGCATGAACCAGGTGGTCTCTTATAGTGGTTCTAATTTGCATGTCTCTTTATATGCAAATATAGGGGACACTTGTCATACTTTTTCATAAATGTACTTGCCATTCAGATCATCCTCTTTTGTGAAATGCCTACTCAAGTTTTTTGCCCCTTTTCTATTGGTTTGTATGTGAATTCATACATATAACCTGCTGGGATTTTGATTGGGACTGCATTTAATTCATTAAATCTATGGATTAACTGGGGAGAACTGGCATCTTCACACTGAGTTTTCCAATCCAGGAGTATGGTCTCCCTCCATTTATTTGGGCCTCCTTTAATTTCTTGTAACAAAGGTCTATAATTTTCAATGTAGAAGTCTTATACATTTTGGTCAGATCTTTGCCTAGATTTTTTTTTTGTTTTTTTTTTTTTGAGACAGAGTCTTGCTTTGTTGTCCAGGCTAGAGTGAGTGCCGTGGCGTCAGCCTAGCTCACAGCAACCTCACACTCCTGGGCTCGAGCGATCCTCCTGCCTCAGCCTCCCGAGTAGCTGGGACTACAGGCATGCGCCACCATGCCCGGCTAATTTTTTTTTTATATACATATCAGTTGGCCAATTAATTTCTTTCTATTTATAGTAGAGACGGGGTCTCGCTCTTGCTCAGGCTGGTTCTGAACTCCTGACCTTGAGCAATCTGCCCGCCTCGGCCTCCCAGAGAGCTAGGATTACAGGCATGAGCCACCGTGCCCGGCCTGGATTTTTTTTTAAGAGATGGGGTCTTGCTATGTTGCCCAGGCTTGATTCCAACTCCTGGTCTCAAGTGATCCTCTCACCTCAGCCTCCTAAGTAACTGGGAGTATAGGTGTGTGCCATCTCACCTGGCCTTTGCTTAGATTTTGATGTTTCTTGATGCTATTATAAATGGTTTCAACAAAATTTTCATTTTCCAATTGTTTGTGGCTGATTCACATCTAATCATTTGGCTACATCCTCAATAGCTGTAGTCCCTAACCCCTGTCCCTCCTAGGGACTGGTCCGCAGAGCTCTGCTCCCCGCCAGCCCCCAGGCCCATGGAAAAATTGTCTTTCATGAAACTTAGGAACTGGGGAGCTGCATAGCAGGAGGTGAGTGGTAGGTGGCTGAGCAAGTGAAGCTTCATCTGTATTTATAGCCACTCCCCATTGCTTGCATCACCACCTGAGCTCTGCCCCTCTTCCCCATGGAAGAATTGTTTTCCATGAAACTGGTCCCTGGTGCCAAAAAGATTGGGGACCGCTGCTCAGTAGGTTATCTAGAACGTCTGGGACTGTCTCCATATGCAATGATGTTGTTTGGAAATAATTTTTCTTTTTACCTTTTTCCCCCCTTATCTCTAACCATAATCTCTTTTACTTTTTCCCATATTTTATTATACTGACTAGAACCTCTAATATTAAAGATAAATGGTTAGCAGTTATCCTAGTCTCATCCAGATCTCATGGGGACAGCTTTCATGTGCTAGAAATTTTTTTTTTTTTTTTGAGACAGAGTCTCGCTTTGTTGCTCAAGCTAGAGTGAGTGCCGTGGCGTCAGCCTAGCTCACAGCAACCTCAAACTCCTGGGTTCAAGCAATCCTGCTGCCTCAGCTTCCCGAATAGCTGGCATGCGCCACCATGCCCGGCTAAGTTTTTCTATATATATTAGTTGGCCAATTAATTTCTTTCTATTTACAGTAGAGATGGGGTCTCGCTCTTGCTCAGGCTGGTTTTGAACTCCTGACCTCGAGCAATCCGCCCGCCTCGGCCTCCCAGAGTGCTAGGATTACAGGCGTGAGCCTGGCCTAGAGATCTTTTGAAGGAAGTTCCTTTCTGTACCTGGTTTGCCTAGAGTTTTTAATCATGACTGGACAGTGAATTTTATCAAAAGATTTTCCTGCAGCTATTGAGATGACCATGTTTTTTCCTTCTATTCTGATATTATGATAAATTATATTAATTCATTCCTGGAATAAATCCAACTTGGTCACAATGTATTAAAATAGTAAGAGAGAAAGTGCCAGTTGCAGGTAGAGGGGAGAAAGTGCTGAGAATGGAGGAGAGGAAGGGATAAAGTGCCCATGGAGGTCCCTCAGTGCTCACTGTGTTCACTAGCTGGCATGCAAGAGAACACAGAATTAAACCACAAGAATTCCCACTAGTCCTTCCCTTGGGTTAACAAGATCCCTTACCTTCTGTCCTCTTGTGTATACCCATTTGATATTCCCTCAATACATATGAAAATAATATTGAGAACCTTCTACCATGCCAGCCTTCTTCTAGGCTCGGCTCTCATGTAGTGCTGGGAGAGGCCTGGGCAGGTGACAGATGAAAAGAATGAATGCAAAGAAAACATCAAAAAAGTGACAGGTGACTGACACAGAAATGCCTGAAGAACATGAGATCCAAGGACAAGAAGATGAGGCATCAATGCTCCAGGCAGAGGGTACACCAGGGCCAAGGCCTGATGTAGCAGAGCTTGGGATGAGATAGGATAACTGAGGCTGCAGGAGCCAGATCCCTCAGTTCCTGAAAGGCTGGAGCTGAGTATAATTTTATTCTTAGTGTTACAGGTGGCCACTGGAGTGTTTTAATCAGGAAAGTGTGCAAATACTTGAACTCTTCCATAGATGGCGTGGACTGCTCCATGGAGAACAGACTGAGGGTAAGAGCACAGGCAGAGGTGGGAGCTCCATAGGGAGGTACCTGCTCTGAGGGTTAGGAAGGCGGTGGGGATGAATGTGACACAAGGACAGGTCAGGATCTGCAATCAACTGGAAGTAGGGAGAAAAAACAGAATCACAGATGAAGAAAAATACTGCTAGGTTCCTTAGGAGAGGCCAAGAATGTAGAAATCAAAGTATTTAAATTGGAATAAACTGTAAGTACTACATATGTTCCTTTTAGAAAGCTAGCTTGTGGATTTGTATGTTTCAGGATAGCTATACAAATGTGTTCACTGCAACTCCAAGATGAGCCTATTTTAATGAAGATTTTAATGTAACTGCATGTGAAACTCACATATCACACATACAAACCCAAGCTATTAAATTCAGATGCTGGCTGTGAATATGTATAGTTTGGGAAGATTTGTCCCCCAGCACAAAGCAATTGACCTCAGTGTTAAGAACTAAAATGGCTTTGAGGAAATAACTCTAACACGACAAATCGTTTTATAAATTATCGTCCACACTCTGCCTTTAGCCAATCTTCATACTGCAGAAGGTGCTAGAGGAAATACATAATGTGGTAGAGAGAAACTAGGTTTGGAGATGAATACCACACTATACAATGTACAGCCTAAAGCCGGAACTGCTCCTTTGAACTCACACTCATACCCATACTGCTGTTCTGTCCTTACCACAAATAGTGAAGATGGAATTTGAGGCTTCATATAATTGGCATATCCTAGGTGAGTACCTGGCAGTAAACTTTCCAGGTGTCAGGAAAAAGGAAAAAGATGAAAAACAGACCGAGGCCAAGGAGAAGATGCCCACATGAGAAGAGAGGATGGCGAAAGTGTCCTCAAGCACATCCAAGCCACAGTGCTCCCCCGCCAGAGAAGCTGACTGGAGGAAATGGACAATCCTCTGTAAGCTGGAAAAAGGTATCAGGAGTAACTAACAGAATGGGAGATGGTGGACAACAGATTACAACAAACCAGAAATTAGGAACAGGATCCCCACGGTTTCACGTTTATAAGATGTAAATAAGAAAGAAGAGGGCTGTTACTAAAAACAAAACTGTTCCCAGCACCCGTCACATGTTAATAGCAGGAGACAGCAAAACCCCACATAAGCTAAACTAAGAAAAACACCAAACGGCTTCCATGGCTTTCACAAGAGTAGTCTACCAGCAGGTCTGCTGGCCAAGGTGCTGCTAACCAAGAAATACACAGTGAAGACTAAAGGAAGATACTTACTACAAATCTACTATGTACTTTTTCTAGGATTCTTTTTTCATTTAAAGCCATAGCTTCACCTTTCCTCTTCTTTATTCTTTTTTTTTCTAGCTTTTTACAGGCATACATTTTTCCTGTGGCTCGTACTTGACAGGCACAAACCTAGTTAAAAAAAAAAAAAAGAAAAAGAAAAGAAAAAAAGAGGCTTCTGTATATTTCTTAGACCCCACAAAGAAAACTGTTTTCTCTCTGAGAACCGTCTCTGGTAGAAACAGGCAGCAGCATCTGATGGGCTGAGGCCATCTGCATCATGGACATAGCCATCTGTGAGCAGGCGCCTCCTCTCCTTACCTATAACAGGCTGCCGAGAGGACCAAGCGAACGCAATGCCGCACTCCGCAAACTCCAAGAGCTGTGCAAACGGAATGTGGCCTGCATGTGTGATCACGCCACATCTGTTTAATTGAAATAGGTCCTCATATGTTTATTTTATTTTTTGTAAAAGGGCAAAAGTTTTAAAATATGAAACCAAAAAGATTCTTAATTTTATAATTAAAAAGTTTGAGAACATAGGGAATATATTTCATAGAATTCACAGATTTTCATACTTTTATTCTATTCATTTAGATTTTTTTTTTTTGAGACAGAGTCTCACTCTCTGTTGCCTGGGCTAGAGTGCCGTGGCGTCAGCCTAGCTCACAGCAACCTCAAATTCCTGGGCTCAAGCAATCCTTCTAAACAGCTGAGACTACAGGCATGTGACACTATGCCCGGCTAATTTTTTTTTCTATGTATTTTTAGTTGGCCAATTAATTTGTTTCTATTTTTAGTAGAGAAGAAGTCTCGATCTTGCTCAGGCTGGTTTTGAACTTCTGACCTTGGGTGATCCACCTGCCTTGGCCTCCCAGGGTGCTAGGATATTTATTTAGTTCTTAAATTAATACTTACATGTTATTTTTACTTTACATCATGAAAATTTTCAAACATACAAAAGTGGAGAGAACAGTACAATGAGCCCCCAGGTACCAGGTACCCCTGGCTTCTGGGTCAATAAAGTATGGCCACTATGTTTTCCCTGACTCCCACCCACTGCCAACCACAGACACCCACACCCACACACACCCCACACACCCCCACACAGACACACACCCAAACATCCCACACAGAGGATTACTGTAAAAGCAAAATATAAGATATATTATATTGATAAAAACTCACCGGTATTTCCAAGATAACTAGTGTTAATATTTTGCTGTATAGGCTTCTAAGTTCACCTTTGTACTGTATTTATGCACATGTAGGGGGTCAGGTCAGCTGGTTAAGGTGCTGCTAACCAAGCAATACACAGTGAAGACTAAAAGAAGATACTACAAATCTACTTTGCACTTTTTCTAGGACTTTTTTTCATTTATTAATAGAATGAAAATACTCCCCCCACCTTGGTCTTTTACAGCAAAATTGGGCTAATATTGTAGAATAGGTGATATTTCATAACCTCCTTTTAAAAATCTTATAGTGTGACTATATTCCCATCTTTAAATGTTCTCCTAAAATATAACTATTTCAAAATTTGTTTAGTCATTTTCCTACCACTAAGTCTTAGCCCGTAGATCTCTTTCTATCTCTTTAACATTAACTTAAGATAAATCCTTTTATGTGGAATTGCCAAAGAAAGGGAAGGGAAAGCAACTAAGAGTGGCAGGCAAGGCTAACAACTAGATATGAATGCTCATTTGCTCCTCACAACCCAGTTGCTAAGGACCAGGTCAAGGTGGTGAACCCAAGATCACACAGCTGGAAGTGGTGGAACAGGAACTCTGAAGTATGTGCTCTTTCCACTACACTCTGCTGCCTCTAAGACCACAAAAGCAGAGATGTCTACCCAATTCCCTTCCCACTGTGCCTGCCTAAGGACCCTATCAATTGATTTTGGAGGACTTCAGGCATAAACAAAAGAATTATTGTTGACAATAATAAGACTAATTATGTTTGCCCTTTCAAATCCACTGGAAGAATTGTTAGCATTTGGAAAAAGAAAATGCACAATTATAATAGAATATGGATTCAAAGGGCACAGAGGCTGTCCTTGCATTAAAGGTCTGTAGGGCTCTTCCAACTGGCATTCAGAGTAGAAATGGACTGACTGTTCACTGCCCTCTGGGCCTTGACTTAGAGTATAATACATCCAGAACAAGTCTGTGAAAAAACACCATGTTATTCATCCATCCAATCAATTGTTTGGAAACCCAAGTAAATGTGTTCAAAAGTAATCTATAAAATCATAAATATATTGAGTCTTTCACAATAGCTAACATGTCCCTACTGAGTCTAGTAAGACTGAAACTTATATATGGCTATAATTAGAATTTCATTCTTTTGTAAACACAAGCTCCATGTCCCAGAAATGTCTTTTCCTTTGTTCTTTGACAAAATCTAAGTCTTTAAACTTCGAGATCATGAAAGGCAGAATAGCAAGAGGTGAACAGAGGAAATTACTTTCCTGTTCTAGAACATATTCTAATAAAGGATGGATTTCTTACAGAAATATCTATCACGAAGGGGTCACAACAAGCATTTGGTTGGATTAGGTAAAATGTTCTAAAAGATCTCCAGAATTGTATCAGAAGTACAATACTGTTAATTCTCCTAAAGTAATGACTATGTTGATCAATTCCATACCATGTAAAACTGCAAATGTATAACAGTTCTCACTTATAGTATAATGCCTCTTAGGTCAGCTTTCTAATTAATTTTAATGCAATGCTTGTGGCTTTTGTTTTTAATTATAATATGGGAACAGGCATGATTTAAATCACATCCAAGCAGTCTAAGCTGCTTCTGATTTACACATGCAGTGTTAGTTTCCCAACAGCTCTCCTGGCTCTTGGGGACTTATAAATTCTTGAACTGAATATGATCACTCCAGATAATTAATAAAGTAATTAACATCTCCTTAAATCACCAAACCAGAACTGCATGTTATTCTCTATTTACCTACTACAGTGGTCTCTATCAAGGAGACCCATCATCTATAAAGAACATCTTTCAAGAGTCTGTGAGTAGCTTACTTAGGATTTTGCCAAATTGACATATTTTCAAACATCTTTTGATGTAGGTACGAGGTACATATATGTCCAAACAGAGTTGGGTTAAAAAATTATATTTAATAATGTACTCTGTACTACATGAATTTTGGTGCTGGTCTTAAATTACAGAAACGGAATAATGAAAATTTCATAATATGGAAAGAGCATAATGTTTCGATCTGGTCAAACAAACTGATCCTGAGCATTCAACAAAGAAAACCAGCTTCTGTCATATCTGTGAAGTAGAAGGTAAGGGATTTTTTTTGAAAAGCTTGTAGCAAAGTACCTTTTGCTCAAAATTCCATCTTAATTCACCCAGTTGGCTAAAATGATTCCCTAAATGCATAATAAGAAAATAAATTTATGTAAAGTTGATACATTACCTGAAGCCCATGTCTTTCAATGGCCTTGCTGTTTACCTAGCTAGAAGTACTGCTCTTAACTGGCACATACATTACTCACCTCTCCAAATCCTCCTCTTCCTAGAACTCTGTAATGTCTAAATGTGTTCTTCGTTACTGGTTGCCTAAACAATTAAAAAAAAAAAAGTTTCAGGTCTCACATCACATTGTTATTTTACAACAGAAAAGCCTACCCAGTACTTGTCTTACCCTTATTCATTGAACCATATTGCTCAAAAAGAGTGCCCAGGACAAAGGGTGTCTGTGCTCAGGGACTGTGGCTCCTGCTAGTGGGGCAGCTTTCTACCTGCACTAAGAGCAATTAATTAATCTTAATATTTACTGAAAACACCAAAGCAAGACACAGAACAGTCCAATTATCTGTACTAAGGACAGGTCTGCAATCAGCCAACAGTAGGAAATATTTATAACTTATAAGATATATCATATTCTTAAGTATACCTCTTTGAACCTGTCAGAAGCTGTTGAGGAAAATGACATATATACAGAGTGCTGTCCTTTGAAGAAATAACCTCAAAGAGATGTTTATAGACCTAATATCTCAAAAGAAACATCTTTGACTAGAACTGGAAATTTAATCAATCAATCAATAATAGTAATAACACTAAAAGCAGCTAACACTTTTTGAACACTTATTTGTGCACCAAACATTGTGCTACAAGCATTTTATACACATTTCCCAGGTGATCCTAGCTACAGCCCAATAAGGTAGATTCTATAATTGCCTCTAATTTACACATCAAGGACCTGAAGCTCATAAAGGCTGAGTTACTTGCCTGAGGCCACACAGCCAGTAAGAGACTGAGCAGGGGCTTGTACCGTACACTCTCACCTACAGCATCTTTACAGAAAAATCTAAGATTTTATTTTCTAACCACTACATCAACAGCATGACTGCCATTTTAAAAAGAGAGAACAGAGACAATTAAATCAGAAGAAATTGTATAATACCCACTAATAATTTCAGTACAAAAACACCACATATAACTCAAGACATCAATCAGTATGCATTATAAGAAGTTACTACTTGTTTTAGTGAGGTTTTTTTTAGAGATGAGGTCTTGCTACGTTGCCCAGGCTAAAATGCAGTGGCTATTGACAGGCACAATCATGGCACACTGCAGCCTCAAACTTCCAGGCTCAAGCAATCCTCCTACCTCAGCCTTGAGAGTAACTGGGACTATAGTTAGGAGGCACTGCACCCAGGTTTTACTGAGTTTTGAATCAGAACATACCTTTCCAGCAGTTTCCATTGTAAAAACTGAGAATAATATGAGCTTTCTTGGTATTCTTCAAATGGTTTCCCTTTTAAATAGTTATGGACAACTCTAGAAAAAGATTTTATGTAATTATATAAATTTGTTGCATTACAGTGTGAAAACAACTGTGTTTTAGTGTATTATTATAATAAGCACTGACTATGGGAAAGTTAATCTTTATACACAATTAAATATATTTTCAATTATAAAAGTCCACATTAGGTTTTAATGCTAACTGTGAAAATAGTAATGAAACAGTAATGAAAATAGCAGTGAAATATGACAAAAGAAAATATGAAAATAGCAGTGGTCCCCTTCTTGGAATGTGTGGGTGCCAGGTGCTCTGTCGTAAACCAACATGCTTCCCACATGCAAGCTGTAGTGCAAGGGTCACCTGGAGCGCAGCAGAGGGCACAGACTACCCCAAGTCCTGCTTCAGTCACTCACTGGCTGAGGAACCTGAGGTAAATTACCCAACATCTAAGGACTCAGTTTCTCCTTCTATAAAAGAGGGACAATAACCTCACCTACCTCATGGGGTTACTGTGAGGGGCAAGCGGATTAACTCTTCCAAAGCATGTATTACTGTTGTGCTACATTCGGTGCATATGGACAAGACAGAGTTTAGGACCTACCCAGGTGAGAGATTTGAGGAACAAAGATATGGGCTGAAAGACTGGCCCCTCCTGGTTTCTCTGATGTCCCAGATGAAGAGAGGAAGAATTGAAATTCTTACCACAATGTCCCAACACTAACAATCGGAGATCAAGACCATGCCTGTCCTATCTGCCATACCAGAGAAGCTATCAAATAGAGCTAACATCTTTTTGCAAAGGAAGTTCAAATCATAAACACTAGAATTCCACTAATGTGAATATTCAACAAGAATATTCAACAAGAACAAATAAAAGATGACCTGAAACTAAAAATGGTAGAGAACATTTACTCTGATCGATTTTCATAGGACGCTGGAGGATAGAGGGAAGGATTCTAGTCCAGTGCCACATAACTGGCTAGGAGAAAGATGAGAGACAAATCATTTATCAGTGGGACATCAACTAATCATTGAATTTCTCACTGAAGGAAACAAGCATCTAAACCACTCAGCTCCTCAGGGTGCAGAGCTCCTACACCTCAAGAAGATGCCAGGGGTAGAGAGAAAGCCTTGGTATTTATCTTAAATGCAGACACATTATTAAAGTATCACAAGTTCCGGCCCCAGCACTGCCACGCTGCAGCTGCACAGGCCTTGGGGAGCCATTCCTTGCCACACAAGCCACTTGAAGATAGGAAGTTTGTCAGTTACATCTGCTAATATAGTCTAAGTGCCTAGGACAGCGCTGAGCACATAAGGGCCCTTAATAAATTATTTATTGAAAGAATTAATGAACTAAACTCCCTATGGTCCAGAGTCCCACTTAAAACATCAAGATAAATCTAAAATAAGGTTATTTATTCACTCATTTATTTATTACAGATGGGGGAGGAGTGTCTTGCTATGTTGCCCAGGCTGGTCTCGAACTCCTGGCCTCAAATGATCCTTTTGCCTTGGCCTCTCAAAGTGCCGGAATTACAGGCATGAGCCACTAGGCTTGGCTTTATTTATTTATATCTTCTTTTTAGAGACAGGGTCTCCCTCTGCCACACCTGGCTAACTTTTAAAAAAATATTTGTAGAAATGGAATCTCGCTAATATTGCCCAGGCTGGTCTCGAATTCCCAGGCTCGAGTGATCCTCCTGCCTTGGTCTTCAAAAGTGCTGAGATTATAGGTATGAGCCACCATGCCGAGCCCCTAAGACAAGGTTGTAAAACCTCCTTGGGCATTAAAAATACACAAGAAAGGTTTAAAAGTACTAGCACATGAGTCAAATATGTAATTCTGGCCAGGCATGGTAGATCACATCTGTTTTCCCAGCACTTTGGGAGATTGAGGCACGAGGATCACTTGAGCCCAGGAGTTCGAGATCAGCCTGGGCAACACAGTGAGATACTGTCTCTACAAAAAAAAAAAAAAGAAAAAAAAAGAAAAAAGAAAAAAATTAGCCAGGTGTGGTGGTGCACATCTGTAGTCACAGCTACTCGGGAGGCTGAGGCAGAAGGATCACTTATGCCCAGGAGTTCAAGGCTGTGGCAAGCTACGATCGTGCCACTGCACTCCAGCCTGGATGACAGAGTGAAACACTGTCTCTAACAAAAACCACATACACACAATGAATATGTCGCTCTAATTGCTCTCAGAGTAAAGGACAAACTTTTCTAGGCTATGAGGGTCTCAGTTTCCTCCTGTGTGAAATGAGTGACTGTCTACACAAATACACAAAGCACTACATGTTCGGGGCCTGATCATCTCAGAAAGCATTCTTTCTTTTTCCTGTGTGCATAAGGAAGCTGAATTTAGCCAAATTTTAAAGCTCTGCTTAAAATTTTCCTGTCCATATAATAAAAATCCAAAGAAAAAATATTTTCAGCAAGTGCCTAGGTCTGAAAAAACATTTGGGAATCTTTTCATCCTAGACAAGCATTTGGGGAGGCTGTACAGAGAAGCCCAGAGCCATCACAGGGATGCTAGATACTGGGGCTCAACATGACCTGTTTCAGCATGCCTTTTGAGTTTATGTAATTCTTACTCTTCATTCACCTCTTTCTAGAGAAAGCAATCATTTTTTTAATTTGGAAAGTACAGTTGACCCTTGAACAACATGGGTTTGAGCTGTGCAGGTCCACTTATATGGGTATTTTCTTCCTCTTCTGCCAGCCTGAGATAGTGAGACCACTCCCTCCTCGTCCCCGTCTTCCTCCTCCTACTCAATGTGAAGATGAGGAGGATGAAGACCGTTATGATGATCTACTTCCACTTCACGAATAGTACATATATTTTGTCTTCCTTATGAGTTTCTTAACATTTTCTTTTATCCAGCTTACTTTATTGTAAGAATACAGTATATAATATTAATACATACAATATACAAAATACATGTTAATCGACTGTTCATGTTATTGGTAAGCCTATTATTAATTAAGTGTTTGGGTAGTCAAAAGTTATACACATATTTTTGACTGGGGGGGTGCCCCTGACTCCCACGTTGTTCAAGGGTCAACTGTATTCTGATAACAACTTGTCTCATGCAGAGAAACCTTCTGTAAGAAGTCTGTCTTGTGGTTAGCTATTGAAAATACATGCAGGGCTGGGCATGAACCACTTACCTAGTGCATTCCTCAAAGACTTTTTTGCAAGGGTTCTGCTTCAGTCTTGATCTACATTCTTTCGTAAAATCTGGAATTATGTCTGGTAAGGGGTCTGCCGACTTAACACAATACAAACCAAACACATAACAATTAGTGATTTCATAATTCACTAATCATAAACAGAACCTAATGTTTACTGTAGAAAAATGAAAACATAGAGTGTATAAAATACATGTAAAAGTGGCACCTGCACCTTCTACCCTAGTCTCACTCTCCAGAGTTCAGCCCTTTTCCCGTGCATATCAGAGCACATGTAGAATGGAAAGCAGGGTCTCAAAAAGGTGTATGTATACCCATGTTTGTTGTGGCCAAAAGGTGTAAACAACCCAGGTGTCCATGGACGAATGAATAAATAAAATGCAGTAGATATCATGGAATATTATTCAGCCTTAACAAGGAAGTAAATTCTGACACACACTACAAAACAGATGAACCTTGCAGACATTATGCTGAGTCAAATAAGCCAGTCACAGGAAGACAAATCCTGTGTGATTCCACTTTTGAGGTTCCTAGAGGAGTCAGATTCACAGAGACAGAAAGTAGAATGGTGAGTGCCAGTGGATTAGAGAAAAGGAAATGGGGAATTGTTGTTTAATGGGTACAGAATTTCAGTTTTGTGAGATGAAAAAGTTCTAGAGATTGGCTGCCTAACAATGTGAATATACTTAACACTACTAAACTGCACACTCAGAAATGGTTAGGCTGGTAAATGTTATGATATGTGGTTTTTTAATTACAATTAAAAATTTAAAATCACACACTCTCTCTCACACACACCCTCAGGAATACAGTTTCTTTTTCCTCATATAAATGGGAAAAAATATATGTATAGTGTTATAAATATGTGCTGACACCTATGGAGCTACCACATTGTCTTTAATAGCTGTGGTGGTTTTTCAGTATGTGGGTTTACCTGCCTCAGTGAACATTCTACTTCCAGTTTTGCCACAGCAAACAACACTGCTAAGGACATCTTTGTATACTGTCTTTCTACATGATAGATTCCTAAAAACAGAATTACTAGCTCAAAGGATACATGCATTTTAAATGTTAATATTTACTGTGAAACTGCCCTCCAGAAAGGTTCTACCGCTTTGCATCCCCACTCACAGCGCCCCTAGATGCCTGCTTCCCACTCCCTTTAACCTTCATCCAGAGGATTCAGGGAAAAAAAAAACACATGACGAAAACCATTGTCCAGATTCAGTGAAAAAATAAAAACCCAGAACACGTTCCATTCTACACTTAACTTGTAATTAGAAGCAAGAAATACATTGCAGGCTGATTTCTAACTGTGGTACAGCCAGGCTACCAGACAAAACTTTGTGTTTTTTTATAAATGAATGTAGTTATTTCCTCAAGCAAGTTGAACTATTGAGAGAAATAAGCAACAATGAGAAAAATCACATTAAAAAACAATATTGTTATAATTAATAATAGATGTCATTTAAATTATCTAATACAGGCTGGGCGCGGTGGCTCACGTCTGTAATCCTAGCACTCTGGGAGGCCGAGACAGGCGGATTGCTCGAGGTCAGGAGTTCAAAGCCTGAATAAAAGCGAGACCCTGTCTCTACTATAAATAGAAATAAATTAATTGGCCAACTAATATATATAGAAAAAAAAAATTAGCCGGGCATGGTGGTGGATGCCTGTAGTCCCAGCTACTCGGGAGCCTGAGGCAACAGGATTGCTTAAGCCCAGGAGTTTGAGGTTGCTATGAGCTAGGCTGATGCCATGGCACTCACTCTAGCCTGGGCAACAAAGTGAGACCCTGTCTCAAAAAAAAAAAATTATTTAATACATTTGAGGCACTTTAATATATGTTACCTCATTTAGCCTCAGAATAACCCTAATGGAAAACAAGAAAGGCACAGGAAGTCACAAAAGGTGCCAGTGTGTACCTACAGCAACAACAGGGAGAGCCGATACTGACCCACACCCTGCTGAACTCCTGAGTCCAGTTTCCTTCTACACAGCAAGGCCACAATATTCTAAGAATAAGATGCATCCATTCATTTTACCATTCAAGAAAAGAATTTGGTCATTCATTTACTCAAAAAATATGCACTGTTTCAGGCACTGGGCACAGCAGAAAACAGGACAAAATTTTCTTAGGAAAAAAAACACCCCATTATTTCAATTGTCTTATTTCCCCTCAAAAGGTCTCGGTTTTTCTGAAACTAAATAGTAGGTTGATTCTATTAAGATTATCTAATGATTAACTCCAAATAGAGATCCTATTTTCAATGTCTTAGAAAAATTTTATATTAACATTTGTTTCCACAGGGAAAAAAAAGCAATGCTCCATGAGTGAGCGGTAAGGTAGGTTCAAGTCAGCTGAAGCATGGCAAGGTAAGGTATAGTATTACTGGCCTGCTGCCAAACATAACAGAAACAGAACTGAGACTTCTTCAGGGCTTTAAATTAAGCAACCAGGATTACTTTTCAGAGTAAGTAGTTATTAGGGCAAATTAACCAAATGACTCAATGCCTTGCTTTTTAACATTTTAGACACAGGAAACTCTAACATGAAAGTCCAGTAGTTATGAGGGAGTGAGAGGTGGATTTTGCAGAAATATGCTTATTTTTCTGTGTTAAAAAATACATTTAGGCTGGGCGCAGTGGCTCGCGCCTGTAATCCTAGCGCTCTGGGAGGCTGAGGCAGGTGGATTGCTCAAGGTCAGGAGTTCGAAACCAGCCTAAGCAGGAGTGAGACCCCGTCTCTACTATAAATAGAAAGAAATTAATTGGCTGACTAATATATACAGAAAAAATTAGCTGGGCATGGTGACACATGCCTGTAGTCCCAGCTACTTGGAAGGCTAAGGCAGCAGGATCGCTTGAGCCCAGGAGTTTGAGGTTGCTGTGAGCTAGGCTGACTCCACGGCACTCACTCTAGCCTGGGCAACAAAGCAAGACTCTGTGTCAAAAAAAAAAAAATACATTTAGCTTTCCTATTTTTTTTAAAAAGTTGGTATTTTTTATTGTAGAGTTGTAAAAGTTCTTTATATATTCTGGCTAGACACTTAGCAGGCATTTGATTTGCAAATACTTTTTCCTGTTCTGCAGATTATCTTTCACTTTCTTGATAGTGCTGTTTGAAGCACAAAGTTTTAAGTTTTGAAGTACTATTTACCCTTTTTTTCTTTTGTTCCTTGTGCTTTGGGTGTTATATCTAAGAAGTCACTGCCTAATTTCAAGGTTTTGAAGATTTACACCTATCCTTTCCTTTAAGAGTTATGTGGCTTTAGCTTTTACATTTAGGTCTCTAATACATTTGCCATTAATTTTTTGTTTATCTTGTAAGGCAGGGGTCCAGATTGATTCTTTGCATGTGGATATCCAGTTGTTCCAGCACAATTTGTTGAAAAGAGTATTCTTTCTCCTATCATAAGTCAACTGACTATACGTATGCTATGGTTTGAATGTGTCCCCCAAAGTGCATGTGTTGGAAAATTAATTTCCAATGCAACAGTGTTGAGAGGTGGGACCTTTATAAGGTGATTAGGCCATGAGGGCTATGCCCTCATGATTGGATTAATGACATCTCAGGAGTAGGTTCCTGATAAAAGGGTGAGGTCACCCCTTTCCTCTCACTCTCTCTCTTGCTCACATTCTCTTGTCCTTTAGCCATAGGATGACACAGCAAGAAGGCCCTCACCAGATGAAGGCCTCTGGACCTTAGACTTATCAGCCTCCAGAACTATAAGAAATAAACCTCTGTTCTTTATAAATTTCCCAGTCTCAGATATTCTGTTTTAGCAGCACTAAACTAAGACAAAATGTATAAACTTATTTCAGGATGTTTATTTCTATTCCATGGACCTCTATGTCTGTTCTTATGCCAGTATTGTACAGTCTTGATACTGTAGCTTTGCAGTAAGTTTGGATATTGAGAAGTGTTGAGTCCTCCACCTATGTTCTTTTTTAGGAATGTAATGACTATTCTGGGTCTCTTGAATATTCATATGAATTCTAAGATCAGCTTGTTAATTTCTGCAAGAAAAGCAGCTAGGATTTTGATAGGGATTGTATTGAATCTATAGATCAATTTGGGGAACCATCTTAACAACATTAATTCTTTTCATCCATGAATATGGGATGTCTTCCCATTTATTTAGTTCTTCTTTAATTTTTTCAATACCTTCTAGTTTTCAGAGTACAAGTGTTACACTTCTGTTACATTTATTCTTAAGTATTTTATTCCTTTTTGATGTTACATAAATGAAATTGCTTTCTTAATTTCTTTTTTAGATTTTAATTGCTAGTGTATAGAAATACAACAGGATTTTGTATAGTGATCTAGAATTTTGCAACTTTGTTGAACTCATTGATTAGCTTGAATAGTTTTTTCTTTGTGTGTGTGTATATTCTTTAGGATTTTCTATATAGAAGATCATGTCACCTGCAAATAGAGTTTTACTTACTGCTTTTCAAACTGAACACCTTTTATTTCTTTTTCTTGCCTAATTGCTCTGTCTAGAACTTCCAGTCAAACTTCCAATTGAACATAAAGCAGACAACCTCATCTTGTTCCTAATCTTGGAGGAAAGCATCCAGTATTCACATTTAAGAATGATGTTAGCTGTGGGTATTTCACAGGTAACCTTTATCAAACTGAGCAAGTTCCATTCTACCCCTAGTTTGTTAAGTGCTTTTATTATGAAGGAGTGTGGATTTTGTCAAATGCTTTTTGTCTATTAAGATGATCACATGGTTTTTTGTTCTTTATTCTATTAATATGGTATATATCACATTAATTGATCTTCAGATATCAAACCAATTTTGCATTCCTGGGAAAAATCCCACTTGGTTTTGGGTATGATCCTTTTATTTTATTTTATTTATTTATTTAGTTTTGAGACAGGGTCTTGCTCTGTCATCTGGGATAGAGTATAGTGGTACAAGCATAGCTCACTGCAACCTCAAACTCCTGGAATCAAGTGATCCTTGGGGCTCAGCCTCCCAAGTAGCTGGGACTACAGGTGCATGCCACCCTGCTCAGCTAAGTTTTTAATTTTTTGTAGAGATGGGATCTTGCTACATTGTCCAGACT